CGGGCGGCCGCTGCCAGGGCTGCAGGGACAGAGACCGGCTCCCTTTGCACGCCGAGACGGCTCTGGCTTCCGTGTGGAGACTGGGTAGACAAGAGCAAAGCCAGGACTGGACACGGTGTCAAGAGCTGAGCACCCACCCAAGGAACAGGTGTTGAGAATGTGAGTGTGAGGGGCGAAGGGACCCCCCCCCCCCGGGAGAAACTCGAGCATTAGGATGGAGAGGACACAGTCAAGCAGATGAGGCTCGGCTCCCAGGTCCCCCCAACACTGCCAGAGCCCAGAGGCCGGCTGGGTGGTCTTCACCATGAGACCCGCTCAAAGTCACCCCCTCCGAGCAATCGTGAAGGGGTTCAGGCACCAGGCACTCCCCAGCACCCAGCTCACAGGCCACACCAACCACGGCCACTCCCAGGACCCGACACCTTCACCACAGCAAAGTCGTGTCGTTGCCTCTGCATCTCCAAGGTGCTGCTTTTGAGGAGAGAACAGAAAGAACAGCTAGCTCGGCCGGCAAGCCAGGCCAGCACAACCCCTGTGGGTGGGGAAGCCCGCAGAGGAGGCCTGCCGCGCTCGCTGCCCGCTGACCCTAGATGGCGCCCAGCACACCCAGCTCACAGAGGAGCAACGCTGAGGACAGGGACTGTCAAAGCGACTGTGGGCAGCGGAAGACATGGGAGGCAGGCTCAGTCCACAGAGGCCGGAAGTCGCGCGGGTACCCTCCCCCTGCCCCGGACAGCGAGGTCGGCTGTCCCTCCTGAACAGCCGGCCCAGCCCGCAGCCCAGCTCTGGGGTCCCGGGGTCCCAGCAGCCATCCCGCCAAGCACAAGACACTGCACACTGCAGTTTCGTGGTTCATATGTAAAATGTTCCGAGGGCCAGTTCCCTCCCAGGGCACAGCCGGTCTCAAAGGTCCAGGGAAGGCCTCCGGGAACAAGACTGGTGGGGGGTTCCTGCCCTGAGAGGTGCAGGACAGCCCCAGCAGGAGGCAGGAATGGAGCAGGAAAACGGAAGGGAGAAGGGACCCGGAGGAAGGAATCGGGTGTGGGATCACGGCGCGTCACGCACCCGTCAGCCTACACCGCGGAGCCGGCTCGGCACCGAGAACACACATGCACCGGCCCTGAGAGGACGCGTCTTCTCCCCTCCTGAGCGCGTGCAGGATGGAGTGCAGGTCCTGACGGACAGCCGTCCGCCCTGCTTCCCAAGACACCCGCGCCAGAATCACACCGACCACCCCACCCGACACTCCCCAGAGAAACCACTTGGTTCCACCAGAATCAGAGGGACGCCTTCCACTCGGAAGGCAGGATGGTGAGCGTAGCCGGGCTGGACGTGGCGGTGCTGGAACAGGCCTCCTGGGGGCCAGGGCCAGGGGCCAGGGCAGGGAGAGTGCTGATCACCAAGGAGGGCCCCGGAGGGCAGAGGTGGGTGTGAGAAAAGAAGACTCGGAGACAAAGGATGTTACTGGACTGCAGGTGACAACAGGTGACGCGCATCTTCGGGAGGAAATAAAGATGAGCTTCTATTGGAAAGGTCAAGTCCAAGTTAGACAGCTGTGTGGGAAGAAGTGTGGGGAGAGTCAGGGGCACAGAAGTTTATTTAAGAGCCCCTGGGGTCTAAAGGGCATTTCAAGGCATGGACAGAGAGAAATCGCCCGGGAGTGGGAGCAGACAGAGGCGGCGGCAGGCCAGTGGTGAGGCCCAGCTCTACCCCGTGGGGGTCAGGCGACAACCAGGCAGTGAGACTCAGAAGGGACCAGCAGGCGTCCTGGAAGCCAAAGGAGGAATTGCCAGACGCACTGGGTCTTGTTGATCGGTGCTGGGAGCAGCGAGAAGCAGCCGCCGCTTTGGAAACTGAGGGTGCCGCAGGGGTGAAGGGCGTGGTACAGGGAGAGGCTGAGGAGCTGCATGGGGGGAGAACCGAGCCATCAGCACACGGAGAGACAGCTTCAGGCAAGTTCTGCTCCAGGGAGGCTGTCTGGGAGCTGGTGCGCTGAGGCCAACCTGTGACGGCCCCACCTGTCAGAGGGGCACGGGAGCTCATGCAGGTTTTCCACGAAACCCAGAGTCCTCCAGCAAACACGGGCCTGCAGCCGCAGAGCCCTTCCAGCCCAACGGACGGCCCGCGGAGCCGGCGCAGTCCCAGCCGGCCTAGCAAAGCAGCTAGACTGGGGAAGAGGCAGCACCCCCGCCGCCGGCACAGCACCGCACGACTGCCAACGCCCCACACTGCAGCAGGGCTCCCAGGATGCAGAGCTCTTCCCACGGCCTCAGCAGGCCCTTCCTCACGCCTCGGTCTTTCCACAGTTCTTTCAAGCCAGTGACCATGCGAAGCGCCACAGCCAGGCTTCCCGAGGGCAGCCCCACGCCCGCCCTGCAGGCGGTGGCGGGATCCTGGACTGGGGCCCGTCCCGAGAAACTGCAGCGCTGCCGCCTTCCCCACACGGGCGGGGGCACCGTCCTGGACTGCGCGTCTTCAGCCGCAGGGAACCAGGACCGTTTGCTCACAGAAGGCGGCCAGAGGGTGCCCTCGTCAAGCCCAGTATCATCATTTTTCTTCCTCGGCTGCTCTTCCAGCCCGCACTTAATTTCAATGCAGCGATATTTAGAAATGTTAATTATCAACTCCACCAACATGCCACGAGCGCCCCAGAAGAAAGGTCATTCGATAAATTATAACTTCTGCCATTAAAATAACAAACTCATACAATTTGTAACATCCTAGTTGTGCAAATGAGAAAATGAAGGCCCAGGAAGAACTTAATTATTGATCTGAGGGTTGCGGTGACGAGAGGTGGAGGTGAGTGGAAAGGACCTCTCCCACCTCCTGGCTTCTGCCCTTTTCTCAGAGGACTCCAATTAGCCAAATGCCATCCCACGCAGGCCTTTCGGGAGCCAGCTAATTGTCGGATGGGATCAAAGGTCCAGGTTCATCTCCTTTACACTCAAGAGTCCTCAGATCATTGGTTAAAACGGCCTCAGGTAGCCAGCCAGCTCTGCTTGCACAGGGCTCGCGGGGGCCGGGGGGGGGGGGTGCATGCCTGTCCCCAGAACGGCAAGACAGGGAAGAGAAGCAACAGGAATGCCTCGTCGGCCCGGGACCGCGAAAGGCTTCCCAGGGGCGGTCAAGAGTGGAGACAGGAGCCGTGTGGTAGCGAGACAGGGCAGGGCAGGCCCTGCCACGGGCAGGAGGACGCGCAGAGAGGACACCTTGGAGGTGAGGCAGGCGGAGGTGGGCTGCTCTGGTCCGGGCCCACTGGATCAGGACTCAGCTGCGTGACGCTGGACACACCTCAGTGGGAGGCCTGGGGGATGTGGCACCAGGAGAACAGACCCACAGCCAAGGGCCCTGGGTGCGGACATCACTAGAAACTGGGTCTACTCAGAATGACTGCTGAACACTGGGTCCTGGGCCATGGGGAGGCTCAAGAACTCCCAGCGGACCAGCAGCAGGGTGGGCAGCACCCTCAGGGGCCGGGGAGAGCTACTCACTAACCAAAAGCAGAAATTCATACATGAGCAACAGAGGGGCCAGCAGGGCCCAGCCCCACACCAGGCTCTGGCTGTCCCGGGAGCTCTGCCTGCTCCTCTGTCCCTCACTCACTGCACATCATCCAGCAGCTCCCACTGCTGGGCCTGCAGGTGGCATGAAGGAAACGCCACTCAAAGGTGACACTGAAGGTAAAGGGCGGCACACACAGGAGGCGATGCTGGGACCTCTCTCCAGCTGTGTCTGGCGGGGTCCCTGGGGCCCCACACACAGGAGGACACAAGTAACCACGAGGTCTGACGGCTTGCAGACACCTGCGGAGGGGGCGCAGCCAGCACAGGCGGCGTGGGGCCCTCTGGGAGTCGTCTCTGAGGAGTGCGGGGCCAGCAGCTGCTGCCGCCGGGAGGGCGTGCCTGACGTCCAAGGCAGCTCACAGGTCTGGTGTGAAGCAGCCAAAAGAAACGGCAGGCAGGAGACACACGAGAGGAGCCGACGGGGCTCCTGGGCGTGCCTTGGAACCGCGTCCTAAACTAGGGTTCTCATTTTTTTCTGCTTAAAACACCAACGTGTGTTAGTGTCGCGTCTGTGCTGGAGGTTTTCTGCGCCTCGCTTGGAACAGCTTCCCGGAGGCGGTGAGCTACTTCGTGATCTTAAAGGCAACCAGGCCCCGGCTTGCAAGTGCCATGGTGGAGCTCAGAGCTCAGTCACGGGGAGGTCCTGCCATACACCACTGGCCCTCAGACCACCTGGGAGACAGGGGCGCCCCACGACCCTGGACGGGATCACCACCATCACAGGAAAGGGACAGAGCAGCACGCTGCCCTCACGTGTACAGACACAGGCTCTCAAACTGGTGAGAACTGGGGCGTGGGGGTCTGTCCACCTCACTCCTGGCCCTGCATGGGTGCTGATCCCAAGAGCACAGGGTCACCTCCACATCCTGGGCCCGCCCTGAGCCCAGCACACAGTCCCTCTGGGGTGTGCTGACTGTGGCCCGTGGCCTGCCCGAGCGAGCGACGTCCAGCCGGGGAAGTAAACAGTCGGGAATGGGGTTGGAAATAAACAGACCATGGCCGAAGCCCAAGATGCAGCTGACGTGGGGGACACAGGTGAGACGACCAGGGAAAGTGCAGCAGAAAGTGGCCTCAACCTGAGCAGATGCCAGGTGACGTGAGCACCAGCACTGTCCGCCTCTGGTTCTGGGAGTAAGATGGGATTCCCGAGGACACAAAGTGGGGGGCACTGGTCACAAGATGGCAGGGGCCCATGCCTAGCTGGGCACCCTCTCCCTCAATGTCAGGTTCTGGCATGTGGGGCCTGCAATGCAGGAGCCCGGGGGAGCCCGTGCTGGAGGCTGGAAGCCGGGTGGAGAAAGAGACCCTGGGCTGGCACGAGGGAGCCGCGCCTCAGGCGTGAGGGGGCAGCAGGGACACCCAGGCCGGTGTAAGCAGGTGTCTCCTACCAGCGGGGCCAACAGCAGCGAACCCACCCACTCACGCCCGCCCACTCACCTTGATCCGACAGAAAATCCAGCATGGTCTGCAGCAGGAAGGACAGGTGCCGGACGGAGAGGGCAGGGGTCCCCATCCTGCGGGAGGCATAGACCAGCTCGTGGAGCAGCCGCATCTGGACGGCGGCCCAGCCCCGGTGCATGCCTGCAACGACAGTCACGGGCCTCAGCGAGGGTGACAGGCCCCGCACAGGTCCCTCTCAGAGCGGGTTACTTCGCCCTGAGACCGGTGCCCGAAGACCAATGGCTCCGGCTCCGCCAGCAAATGCAGTGGAACCTCCTGGGCTGCCCACCCCCAGGAAGCAACGTGCCCGCGTGTTAGAAATGCGAAGACACAATTGACAAAACAACCCAATGTGGAATAATTACAACGAAGCCAAACAGAGATTGTTTTCAGTGGCGTGAGCTGAAAGAAAAGTTGGGAACGCAGGGCCTCCCCAGTGGCGCAGCAGTTGAGCGCTGGGTTGCGAAGCTGCCCGCAGCCTCTGCGGCGCCGGTTCAATCCCCGGCTGCTCCCCGGCCACCGGAGGAGGGTCCCACATGGCGCGCAGACCTCTCCTGCCGCCCGCTGCTCCCCTCAGCAGTGTCCTTCGGCCCTTCTGCCTGCTCTGCTCCCCGCTCTGGCTCTGGTGAATTCTCTCACCCTCCCGCGCTTCTGACTGTACCCAGTGCTTGTATAAATAAATAAACAAATCTTTAAAAAAAAAAAAAACTGAAAACTTTTTAAAAAGAAAAGTTGGGAACGCAGCATATTTGAAATAAAAGGCGGGAGGTCGAGGCACAGCCATGGAGCCGTGTCTTTTCAGGATCACAGGAGTTCACTGTTCTCTAGCCCATCTCAGGAAGGCAACCAGTATTGTTTAAGTATTTCCACCTTGAAAGCCTTCATGAAGAAGACTGGCAGCAGGAACCCAAACAAATAAGCCCCTGCTGGAGGGTGTGCCCAGCAGCGGGGGCGGGGGAGCGAGGCTTCCAGCTCTGAGAGGGCTACTCCTCTCACAGCCCCACCCTCCCCTCCCTGCCCCACAAGCTGACCAGCGCCAGGTGCTGCTGCACTCCAAGTGCGCCCCGACCCCAAGCTATCTGCAGGCGCGGGGAGGGCTGTGAGCTCCGGCCACTCTCTGGTCAGCCCTTCATTTCCCTGCAGCCGGCTGGGCCTGCTATCAGGTACCCTCGGGCCCAAGGGGTGCGGCGCAGAAGCACTCAGCACAGGCGCATCGTGCCGAGAGCCTGCGAAGCAGGAGCCCCTCTTCAGTCCTACACTCTGACACGTGGTGTCTGGGGTTTGCCGTCAAAACCCTCAACTGGGAATGAGCAAAAACCAATCCAGCAACACCTTGGTGATCATTCAACTTGGACAACAGGCTTGTTGTATCACTGCCCCTAATCTCTACAGATCTCAGTTATCTCAGAATTTGCTTAACTGAAGTCCTGGGAACTGACCAGACCCAGACGCATACCAAAAGCCACCAGTCGGCTCACAGAATCCTCCAGAGTTGGGGGTGGAGAGGGGGCGGAGCCTTTCAAGCAACAACAGGGGTGGAGAGCAGAGGAGACGCCCCTGCAACACACCCACGCCACCCAAAGGAGCTGCGGTCAAAGGCCGAAGGAACAGGGAGATCTTTAGAAGGACTCAGACGCCCAAGTCAGCGTGGCAACCTCGTGACAGATTCCAAAGTGACCCAATTCAACGGACCTTCCCATCAGGTTGTCTCACTTAGGAGTCCAACACGCTTCAGTGAGCTCTTAATGATAATGATTCAGCTCCTATGAGCGAGACTGAGTATAAATCTTCTTAACACGAAATAGTGAACTAGTCATAATTTCTATGTGATTCAAATTGTTCCTCCTATAAAATCTGAATCTTAAGGATTTTATTCTTAAAACAGATTTGCAGCATATGACCCAGTCATAAAATTTTTAACTCCTGCATTTGAAAAATGTGCCAAGGTAAGAGTTTCTAACACCAACTGTCACCTTTGAGCAGATCCACTTGCCCCCCAAGAGTTCTTGCGGGAAATTTAACTCCCTGTGTGGGGAAAGGCTGAGCAAACCCTCCCGCGTGGCCACGCGGACAGAGACCCACGTGGCCCAGCAGGCAAGCCCCGTCCCGCAGAGGGGGGGCACGCACAGGTCCCGAGACCTGGCCAGCTGCCTCCCACCCTGCAGCGGGTCTCCATCCAGTCCTCGGGGCACCGTCAAGAGCGGTTCAAGGTGACTCGCTGTTCTTGTTAGAATGGGGCCTGCTGAGCTGCATCATGTCCTCCCGCTATCTGATCTGGCTCCCTCTCCCATCTCCTTCACAAAATGGCGGGCGTGTCCCGCGAGAAGAGAGAGTGGCTGGGAGTGTGCTATTTATGTTATTTTCAAAGGCCACACGTTGCCTGCTTCACTCCTCCAGCGAGCGCAGGTCAGGCCCGGCATGGGTGGCAGCGGCACCCGCACGCTCCCAGGCATTCTCACTCCGGGTTGGTTTTTGCTGACTTAGCTGGACTACGAGTAGTGTTCTTAGGTTTTCGGGCAGGTGTGGAGGACACGCCATGCCCGCTCAGAGGGGATCCTGACTCCTGGTGCAGCCAGGGGCGCGCCCGCGGCAGTGGAGCGGGCGCTCGGGCGGCTCCCGCTGACCAAAGAAGAGCCTTTCCGCTCCGGCGCAGATGCCCAGCACCTTTGTTGAAGTCCTTGGGGTCGAGCGACAGGCTGTAGCCGGGGAGCGTCTCCAGGAGCAGCTTGTAGCAGGCCCGCCAGCCGGGCTCGGCCACGCTGGGCGCCACGCACTGCATGGCCGCCACGCGCTTGAAGAAGGCCGACTTGCGGTGGAAGCCGATCAGCTCGTACAGCTCGGACAGGATGCTGTAGCGCTGGATCTTCTCCTCCTCGGAGAGCTGGGGCACAGAAAGTGAAAGGCTTTTGAAAGACGTGACAATGGGAACACCTTTTTTAAAAGCTTTTTCATAAAAAAAGACAATGGGAAACACTGAAGAGAGGGAGAGTGGAGTGACCACAACGGCCGTTCCACCCGCCAAGAAAAGCACGGGAGCGATTCACGTGGACGCTCTAGAAGCTTATTACGAGCCCCACGGAAGAGTCATCCTGTCTTTTTGCTAAAAGGCCCATATTCTCTGCAACAAGAGTTTGCTAGCACGGAAGACAACTACTTAAATTCCTTCATAACGGGGGTGAGCCCAGACACTGGGATTTGAGCAGGGACTTCCCTCAAACAACACTTTGCAAAAACAGAAAATAAACAGACCCACACGAGTAATGTGAATTGTCAACACCATCTACGACTCTGGGCCTTTCACTGGCATCTTTCACCCACCACCTCGCTGAGCTCCCCCACCAGCCCCAGGACGTGCTATGCCAACAGTGCTCCAGCAGCGCCTCGGACGCCAGCGACCCAGCGCACCTGCCGTGAGCAAGGCGACAGCCCCGCCGTTACTGCCACTGGCACACAAGAAAACTCAGAGCTCAAGGCAGAGTAAGAGCCTGTGCAAAGCCGCCCAGCCATGCAGTGACAGAACCAGTGTCCCTGCCTCTGACACAGCGAGCCACGTGCCGAGCCAGGGCACATCGCCCCACCACCACCACCACCACCCAGGACATCCACAGCACAGGCCCACAGTTCGGTTCTGCCAGCGGAGCTCCCCTGTGCCTCCCTCCAGCCTCACTCCCACAGGCCTGCCAGGTCCTCACCTGAGGCCCGCAGCAAGACTCACCAGAGGCGAGTGGACATGGACTTCTGGCCCATGCAGTGCTGCTGCCACACTAACGCCCTGAAGCCCAGGCCGGCATCCACCACCTGCCCCAGCACCTCAAGGTTAACCAGAGCGTTCCCGCGTGACTCAGCTACTCCACTCCCAGGTGGAACTGAAAAGACCCACCTGGATTGGTGACACATGTTCTCGTGAAAATTTGCACAAGAGTGTTCACAGCAGCATTTATTCAAAATAGCCAAAGGTGGAAACAACCCGACACCCATCCACTGATGAATGAGCGTGCAGAGCGTGGGAAGCCTGCAGGGTGGGGTATCACCCGCCATAAACAGAGGCGGCGCTGGCCCAGCCGGCCCCAGAGCGCACTGAGCCCCGCGCAAGGCAGTCGGCGCTGATGGGCAAACGCCAGCCCCTAGGGCAAGGTGCACTGTGCACAGCACGACTCCCACAAGCTTTGAAATCTTTCTAAATTGTGCAAATCACACGTGGCCAGCGGCTCCACACAGGAGGCATCAAGGCTGGGCGCGGGAACGTGTGCCAAGCTCCTGACCCGACCCCGCGCACATCCGCAAAGGTCCCTGCCATTGCGGCCAACACGGCGGTGGGAGAGCCGGAGCTGTGGCCGAGGCCCCGCATGCCACCCCCACTTCACCCAACACACACGGCCGAGCCCGGCCCTGGCGAGACTGCCTGCCTGGCCAAGAGAGGGGAGCCTGGCCCGGTCCAGGCTGCAGGCGGCGCCGCCTGTGACAGCACTCAGTTCTGCTCTCAGGCCTGTTTTTCAGCGACTGCTGGGGTAAACAGCTGAGAATTTCTAAAAGCAGCATCTGTTATGCTCTGTTTACACTTTGCATGCCACCTCATTCCAAGAAGGCGTCTCAACCATCCTCTAAATGCAATGTAACAACAAAAATCCAGGCGAGGAGGAGGAGGCTGGGTAGGCAAGGGCGGCTGGGCCCTAGGAACGCAGGCGCGAGTAGGTTTCCTCACCCGGGAGACCCAGCGTCTGTCTCTCCAGGGCTCCTGAGCCAAGGAGGACACCAGGGCACTGTCAGGTCACGTTGCGCCAACAGCGGCGTCTGCCAGCCACACACGTCCATATGGGGCTCACCCCAGCAGCTCGGACCAGCCCAGGCAACACAGCCACTCGCCCCTCTCCCGTCACCTCCTGGGCTCCCAGTGGGGATCTGAGGCCACCCCAGGGCCTGGCGGCAAGCGCCTCACCCACTCCACCGGGCAGCAGGACCCAGCTGGTCTCTCCCAGGGCCCTTCCAGCTTAGAGATCCTTTCTGAGTCTCCCCACCGCCCTGATTCGGAGCTTAAGCGGACATCAAGTTCTGCGGTGACAAGGACTTTGTGCCTGTCCCCAGGTGTTGGCTAGGTTTCCTTAGCAACAGCCTCATCAAGGAACTGCATCAAGATGCTTAAAGAGGCTCTTCTTCCATCTGGCCAGAGCGGCCTGCAGAAAATTCAAATGGCTTTGAAGAGAAAATTAACTGGGGACAAGAGGTCACAGACCCTTGGCAACGGCACATGGGCCCAAAGCTTCTGCAGTGGCCCAGAATCATCCCTGAACAGAGGCCTGGAGAAGCCAGGCATGGGGCTGAAGAGACGGGGCCCCCGAGGGTGTTCCACATCTGTTAAGGAGTGGGGCTTTCTCCCTAGTTTTTCAAACAAGTCCTTCCCTACCATCAATGGGCCCAGCATGAGGTAGCGACACGGCTGGGACAAGGAGGTGCAGGGGCCCACGGCGGTGCCGACAGGGAACCCCAGCCCGCAACTCCCCACCCCCAGGTTCCTTGCCCCTAAACTGCGTATGAGAAAGTGCTCAGCAACAGCTAAGACTGTGGCCAAAATCTGCTCCCGCCTAGTTACATGCCTGCAACAAGCAGGAGCTCACGTAGCATAAGTATGGCTGGCGTCCCCCTCAGTCATGACAGGGGGCTCCCCACGCCCTCCTCGGTGGTGACAGATCTAGTCTTAGGGCTGACACCACCAGAGCGCCGGGCTGCACAGTCCCCCCACCTTTGTGCCAGGCAAGTTCCCTCCTTTGCAGAACTGACCCCTCCTCCAGGCCTGTCCACGCCGGGCCTGCTTCTTCCTCCAGGCTGTAAGCGCAAGCAGCAGGCCCAGGTCGGCCTCCGAGGCCACAGCTGACTTGCCCACGGCCCCAACTCTAGGGCTATGTAAGCGAGGGAAGGAGCAGCTTCTCAGAGACCCTGTCACCCTAGGAATGAAGAGCCTGCAGCTCTCAGCCTGGCTGTCCCGTGTGCACAGCCATCGCTGCACGTGATACAGAGTTACGGGCTTCAAGAAAATGGGCGCGTCCTCAGCCTGTGAAGTGCCACTCACTGGCCCACGCACCCCAAGCTGCCGCTGGCACCCAGACTCACCACAGGACAGACACATACTGATTGCTCTCGGCGGGCCCAGCGGGGCACCGCGCTCCACATGCACCTTGACGTGACGCCTGCTTACGACGACTCCAGCAGCCCGCTCACAGATTCGTGAACAGCCTCAGGGAGATCGCACAGCAGGCCAGGGCCACTGTAGGCCAGGGCACACGGTGATGAATGGTGCTTGAATCCTAAGGGCACCAAAGTTTGTCTCCTTTTTAATAGGCTCAACATGTGCCTATAAAATCTATCTGCTCATGGGGCCTCCCTGGTGGCGCAAGGGGTTAAGCACAGCAATATGAAGCTATCCTCAGCCAATACAACACGAGTTTGATCCCAGGGAGCTACCCACATGGCGCAGCAGACCTCTTCTGTCTCCCCGCTGCTCCCCTCAGCCGTGGATTTCAGTGGATCCGCCTGTTCTGCTCCCCACTCGGTCTCTGGTGAATCCTCTCACTCCTGTACCTCTGGCCTGTGCCCCAGCTCTTGCATCGATAAATAAATAAATCTGGCCTCCCTGGTGGCGCAAGGGGTTAAGCACCGCACTATGAAGCAATCTGCAGCCTCTGCAGCACAAGTTCAATCCCCAGCCAGCCAGGGAGCAACCACATGGCGCGGCAGACCTCTCCTATCTCATCCGCTGCTCCCCTCAGCAGTGGATTTCAGTCAGTCTGCCTGCTCTGCTCCCCACTCTGTCTTTGGTGAATCCTCTCACCCCCCACACCTTTGCCCTGCTCTTGTATGCATAAATAAATCTTTTTTTTTTAAATCTACCTGCTCAACACACTCATTTATACATAGTAATTAAGCAAAACGCACACTGCTGTGTGCTGAAGCTGGATAATCACCCTCAGCTGCTCTCGGGAACACGGCCAGACAGACCTGTCCGTATTCCTACGAAAGGCAGAGAAACCCGTGCCTGTGGGGCGGACACCCTGCCCTGCACCATTCAACCAAAGGTATTGTCTGTCTGTTTTCATGTTTGCACGGGGCTTCTCAGAGCAGGAGGTACCCGCAGCGATCGCTTCTCCAACGCTTTCGAGATTTCCACATTAGTCAAGATCGTCCCCAGGAAGATACAACTCATCAGTTCCACAAAGGAACACACTTGATCAAGAACCAAAAAGCCCATTCTATTTCAGAAAAATGACAGACCCCTCTGCTTTATTGTTATTATAAAATCCCACCAGAACTCATTATTTTGCTGTCTGCTCATCTGGCAAAAGCCGCGATGAGTCAAGGAAAGTGAAGTGTCACGTTGGGGGAACTCAGGCAGGGCAGGGAGCTTGGCTGCCAGCCAGCCCGCCCCAGCAGCAGCAATCTGCCCTCCGGCGGTCTCTGCTGACCCCTAGTGTTGTCAGGGAGGACAGAGCGAGCAAGTTAAGGAAAAACATTCCACTTGGTGAAGTATCTGCACTATTCCCCCCACCTGTGAGGCCAGCTAGGTAGCAGGCCCAGATGCTCAACACTCTCTTGCAAAGACAACTGGTCCTTGGGGGCAAGCAAGTCCCAGACAGGGGGCCCTGCAGTCTCCCCCACCCAGCCCAGCAAGCAGGGGAGGCTGCAGTGGGGCTCCCGCAGGCTCAGGGTGGCCACCTTCCGCTCTCACTGACCACATCCCGAAGCCCTCCGGCCTGGCTGGTGGCCTCCCGGGCAGACACGGACAGCGCCTGGGCTGTCCCGTGTGAGGCTGGGAGCCTCACACCAGCACCAGTCGCCTGTGACCCAGGGTTTCTCTCCTGTACAGATGAAGATCTCAACAGGTAGAAAGACAGACGGTGTTGCTCAAGGCCCACAGCTCCCACGTGGCAGGATGGGGCTGGAGCCCTGACTCCGCCCCTCAGCGCCAACCTGACTGACTCTCCTACACTTCTGTGCTTGGACCTGCAACCTACAGGACATGTCCCCAGCCTGCCTTTCCAGCATAGTCCCTCCCATGCCCCATCCTCAGGCCCTCGGGGTATAGGCCCAGGTGCATTTGCTCCCAGCCCCCACCTCAAAGGGCTCTTGTGTCCTTTGGCGACTGGTTTCCCCTCCATAGAGACCCTCCTCGGGGGCTTTCCTCACACCTGACCTCTGCAGGCACCTCCTCAGCTGGCCCCCTAGGCGGCATGTGCCTGGGTCTGGTCACCCTCAAAATCCACTGCCCGGCTCAGCGCCCAGCACCCAGCAGACACCCTGACACCACAGTCAGTGATCTAAGGACACAGCCCAGAGGTGGGGTCTCTATTCGCCAGCACTACTGAGGCGGCCTCTTCTGGCAGCCGCCTTCACAGTGACCGAAGCACCCCCCAGCTTTATGGGAAGGTCTCCCAACCCTCCCTGCCAGGCCTCTGTGGGGCACTGCCAGCTCACTGGCTGCCTGTGCTCTGCCCTCCAAAACTGACAGGTTCGGGGCATTGTCTCCTGCAGTCCGAGCGCTTGTGCTAGGGTGTTGGCTTTGTTCTGGATGTCTCCCCCTCCGGGGTCAGGCAGGCAGCTACCTAGGCTTACCCACTCGGTGGCCTCACCCCCGTCCTGTGGCTGGGAAAGTGGCCACGATGAGGGCCCGAGGGCAGAGACAGGCCGGCTAAGGGGTGGGAAGACTGGACCCAGACTCAGCCCCAGGCTCCGGACATAAACATGTGGGGCATCAAAGCCTACGCAGGAGCCGCGTGAGCCCCGAGGTGTCGATTAACCCTGGTTTCTCTTTACTTCTTTCTACTTAGAAAATGAAACTGCTCCTCAGTCAGGACAGCAAAATGCGAGGGTGCTGGACCTGGGTGCTAGAGACACACTCACACACGTGGGCACAAGGCTCGGTCTCCCCACAACCTCAGCCCCAGGCCCACAGGCCTGTCTTTTCACACCTGAGGTCCCATCTTCCCTCCTCACCCCACAGCATGACCCGGCCCCAGACAGGCCAGACTGGGGCCTCCCTCGGGCCCAGCACACAGATGGGCACTCGCCTGTCCAGCTGCTGACAGCTGCTCCCATGGGTGGCTCCCTCCAGCGCCAGCCTCCATTCAAGACAAAGAGACTCTACCCACTCCCGGCCTCTCTGCCAAAGCCCACCGTTCTCAGAGCAAACTCCAGCTCTCTACCTGGTCCCTCCGGACCCCTGCTGCCCCCCACCAGCCCCCTGCTGGCTGCTTCCTTCCAGCGTGAACCGGCAGAGCCCCCTCCCTGAGGGACGCTCTTCTCCCCACCCATCTTGGGGGTTCTCTCCACTCTCCCGCAGGCAGCGGGAACCCCCGGCCCTCCTCCCCCACCTAAGTCACTGGGTCCTTGGGCCACTTGCTTCCTCAGCACCCCGAGCTCCCGTAACTGTGTGCCTCTGGGACTGAAGGGCCAGCTCAGCGAGGGCTGGGCCTGCCATCAGGCCCTGCTCCCCACCGCACCAAGCACTCACCGACAAGGGCTGTCCAGAGCCTGCATCGGGGCCCCGGCCCCGCGCCGCACGCAAGCGGCCTGCTTGGGGTCTTTGCTGCCCTTTCCCGTGAACTCCAAGTGGGACTAGCTGGAAGTCTCAAATCTTTCTAGGGCACCAATTTTGGGGTTTTGCACTAGCGACGTGTTCTAATGTTTTCGATTTATTATGTCCTAATGTTCTAATTATGGAATAAGTATGTGCATAATTAGTTCTTATGTAATAAATGTTCTAATGATTTTGTTTTATTAGGAACCTATCCAGACTCGGACTAAATAATATTTGTGGGTTGCCTGCTGGCAAAAGGAGCCGGACGGGTTACAAATGGCAACCACTTCCCGAGGGACAAAGCCAGGTGGCGGACAGACGCTTGTTCAAGGTCACGGAGCAGGAACGGGGCAAAGCTGCTTCTCCAATGGAACAAAATTTTTTGAAAAGAAAGAGAATTCTGAACTCTGAAGGCAAAGGGCCACAGCACGGAGACGCAGAGCAGCACGACAGAAGACGGAGAGCAACAGCCATGTGGGTGGAGCCACCACGCTCAGGCGCGTGGGTTTGTCAGGGGTGTCCCAGAAGGCGCGTCCCCGCCCCTGCAGAGGCACACCCACCTGTCGGAGATTAATGTAGACCGCGTTCTGCAGGAATTCGGACGCCTCCATGCTCCGCTTCTGGATGGCGAGGACACGCACGGCTTTGACGCAAGCTTCCAGCTCGATCACTCCAGCGTTCTTATACTGCAGGGGTGAGAGGCACGTAGGTTAGCGCGGCGGGGAGAGGTTCTGTCCTGCTGCAGAGGCCCCGACAGCCCCTGCCCCGTGAGCGGCCCTGGTTGGAGGGGCTGCCGGGACCGGGTGGGCTGGTGCGCCACAGAAACGCGCGTGCACATGGCCAAGTGACGTGAGCATGACGGGGACATTTACCAAACTGCACAACAGCCTCAGGGGCCACATGGCTGCGCGCCCCGTCACACCCCCGTCTCCACACACCTTGGGCCCTCTCACCCCTGCGGCGTTAATGCACTGGCTGTGAATTCATTTCACTTTGCTGCGAAAATTCTAGCTCCTCGTATCTCGTCTTTGTCCCTGGCTTTCTGATTTCTGTCTCAGCTACTCGTTCCTGCTGCTCAACCCCGTGACGGCCCCAAGGTGAGGGGCAAGCGGAGGGCAAGCAGAGACAAGGGAAGGAGGGAGCAGGGGCTTCGCCGCACTCCAGGGCAACACGGCAGAGTGCCCAACCTGGCCCGGGGAGCCCACGAGGGACTGGGGACTCGGCAGTCGCTCGGGTGCTGCTTCTCCCTCAGAGAGGGAGGTGGCCAGGGCGGGGGGGCTAGGGCCATGTATGGGTGTGGTGCTTGCCACCAATCTGGGAGTGTGCAAACACTAGTCCTGTCACTGCATTTCAGTGACCGCAAGGGTGCTCTGGGCAGCGTGGGGAAGTCGGGCCGCACACAACGTGAAGTCAGAGCTTCCGGCTAAAGCCACACAGGGCTCGCAAAGCGGCGCCATCACCTTGCTGTAGTAGGAGATGGCCTCCTTGTATCTGTCGATGATGTCCTCGGGGCTGAGGCAGTTCTTTGCACGCCCAATCTCGGCGCTCGTGTCGGCGTTGATGCCATTGGTGGTGAGGGCGCCTGCAAACCAGAGGAGGAAACGGTAATCTTTGGTTTTTCCTGTCCCGCTCCTGTGTGAGTTTAAGAGAGGGACACAAATAAGATAAAGTTTAGATATCCCTACTGCAATTTAAGTAACAAGACTGTTTTTAAAGACCCCGCGGCTCGTATAGCCCTGTCTCAGCATCAAAGAGTCGCATCCAGCGTTGTTGACTCAGAGCAAATGTCCTCCCTGCTGAAGCTTCAGTAAAGACCATGAAACGCATCATGTGAAGTGACCCGTCCACCAACACTGGCTGGGCTCTCTGCAGACAGCTCCGCCCACCGGTCTCACACCCTGGACGCGCACAGAACACACAGCAGCTCCTCAGATGGAGACAGAGGACAGGAAGGCATCTCCCGAACCGTGAGGCACTGACCACGATGACCGCTAACTGCCAGTGTCCTGCGGTGGGTCGTTTTCTGTTTCTGGGCAACCCCGAATTCTCCAGCCATCAAACTCACATGGCAAAGAGCTCTGGGAAACGTGCATTAACAGAATGGGGAGGGGGGTAAAGTCTTTGATTTCACAGAAATGCCCCAAACATTCTGCGAACCCTCAGGAGCAGGACAAGCTGGGTCCTCCTGCCCACGGTTTATCTCACAGGCACAACAAACCCACAAGCACCTCTGTCTCCCGGCAGCCGGGGGCCTGGGCACCTGCCATCAACCCTGGTAACTCTGGGCCCAGGGCCTGCGCCTCGCCCTGCCCGCAACCAGGCAAACCCTCACCCATTGCCCGGCTCAGGAGGGCCTCACTGCGCACTCCACGTCCTACTCTTCCGCAAGCTGCCTCTCTTGATGCTTTTTGGAGCAAGACAGGAATAAGTGGACAGGTGGGCAGAAGGACAGTGAGATTCCAGAAAGGAGCTCAATAAAATTTCATAGGCAAAATCTTCTTCTGGTCAGGGAAGAAAGAACTACAAGAGAAGCAGGAAGAGGCGGGGGCTTGGGGTTTTGTTTTCCTGCACATTTGAGAAAACACAGCTAGGACAGTAATAACAGAAAGGGTTATGCTTGGAAAAAATCTAAAAATACAGACTTTTTAAAAAATAGATTCAAATCAGCAAGACCCAACAACACAATCCCAGGGTCCTCACAGTAATGAAATTCCATCCCAAGCTGCAAGGCGCCCTCTGGAGCACCCAGGTTCCCCGTGGGGTGCTGGTGACACCGTCACCACCAAAGCCACGTGTTTTTGCATGACCGAGGAGCCAGGACTGTGCTGGGGGTGCCACGCACGCCCCGCCCCACAGCATCCGTGGAGCATCTCAGAGGGGTGGGATCCCCACTCGTTCTCCAGGCCCCGGAGCTCCTTCCTCCTGCACAGGGCCCCTCGTGGGCCCAAGTCCTCCGCACTGCACCCTTACACGCAACGTGCCTCACGGGTGACCACCTGTTTCTGGTTAAAGAACATGTAGCGCACGACAGGTAGGCTGATGCAGCTTGTCGCTGCTGGATCTTACGCTCCTGCTTAGAGAAAGGAAGGAAAAGATGGCAGAGGCTCATGGATAATGAGGCTCACGGCCCTCATCTCCTCCACACGGCAGACACGGTCAGAGTGCTAGAAAGGTCCCCAGCCAGGGAGGAGGGGAGAATGACCCCCCATCTTTTGAAGAAAGGGCATCGTTGATGACGAGAGTTCATTTAACGGCTCACAACTCCGGATGGCGACTGGGACACAGTGCCCTGTGTAGCCCCAGAACTACATAGTCTGAGGGAACAGGGCGCAGCTCACCGGAGACTTAGGGGGCAAGCAGACTGGATTTCGTCAGCAAAAGAACAACCAGCTCTGAAAACAGCAGCAGCCGTAGGTTCGGTCCTTCAAGATGCCTTTCGACATTCTGTGGCCCCACGCCCCACACCACATTGCCGAGATCCTTGGGAGTGAGCAACCACCAAGGCCCAGCCTGAAGGCTGTGGACAGGGTCTGAGCACCAGGCCGAGGTGGAGCCCAGACTGCAGGAGTGGAAGGCACAGGGGAGACATGAGGCAAGAACCAACCCAACAATCATGAGATGACCCATTCAAGAGCTGCAAGGGAGAGCTGCCGAGCTCCTACCACACACAAGGCCCAAGACAGGTGCAGATGACAGGAGGAGGCAAAGCAGAAATAAGAGGCAGGAGAGCGAGAGCCACAAGGCCGCCAGACACAGAGGAACCAGAGGGCAAGAGGAGTCCCCCGGGGCAGACCGCGAGGCCACGCTCCGGCCACGCCCGCAGGCCAACCTGGACAGCAGACAAGCTGCCCTCAGGGGGCAGCAGGACCGGGAGGCTCCACACCTGCATCACACAGGCCGCATGTGTGCAAGAAACCCCTCCTGGGCCTCCCCGGTGGCGCAGTGGTTGAGCGCTGGGTTGTGAAGCTGCCCGCAGCCTCTGCAGCACCGGTTTTATCCCCGGCTGCTCCCCGGCCACCGAAGGAGGGTCCCATATGGCGCGCAGACCTCTCCTGCCGCCCGCTGCTCCCTCAGCAGTGTCCTTCGGTCCTTCTGCCTGCTCTGCTCCCCGCTCTGGCTCTGGTGAATTCTCTCACCCTCCTGCGCTTCTGACTGTACCCAGTGCTTGTATAAATAAATAAATAAATATTAAAAAAAAAAAAAAAGAAAAAGAAACCCCTCCAGGCCTCACAGCGGGCCGAGATGGGCCACTGGGCAGCGGCACAGGGACACCTGTTGGTCACTGGGAGAAGATGGAAGCAGGCCCACGCCGACGCCAAACACGAAGAGGAAGTCCAAGCCGGCCTCGCTCCAAGCACGAAGAAGCTCCAACAACGTGCTGAGTCCCTCCAGCCTCAGGGTGTGGGGAAGGCCCTCTGACTGGATAACTCCAGCCAACAGCCGTTTCACAATCAGGTTGACTTAGTCACATAAAAACTCAGGAAAATGCCAGAAGGCCAAAACAATCAGTAACTTGGGAGAAAACGTCTGCAGCGTGTATCACAGAGGGCTGGTGCCACGAGTGTGCGTAAAGGCCATGAAGAACCCGGGGCTCAGGACTGGAACTAGGTTGTCCTCATGGTCGCGGACAGCAGCATGAAAGTCCCAAAGGGGTGAGGCAATGATGACCGTCAAGGCAATGAGCATGTGAGTGCTCCAATTTGGGCTTCTCAATGCCATTGTCCAGCAAAAACAGTGAAAACACTGTAGAGAAATGTCCGATTTTAGAGATGGGACAGAAAAAGCATAAAATGTACACATATATCTTGACCAAGAAAGTGAGGAAGTGCTCAATATAAGAAGGACAGGTTTGGCCAGGGGGAGCTGGCTTGAAGGGTGTCCTCTCACCCCCCTTGCCAATGCACTACAAAGCACAGCAGAACAGCAGGGGGTCAGCACTCGTGGAATGAAACAAGCATCCATGAGTCCACAGCAGTAATGACAGGAGGGTGGGTGGGTGGGTACTTGGATAGATGGATGGGTGGGTGGATGTGGAGAGAGAAAGGAAACCTCTTCTTTATATTAGAATACTAAAGAATAAACATATAAAAAAATGCAAACATCATACTTGATGTAAAAGACTAAACGTTTCCCTCTCCCAAAAGTCATGAATAAGACAAAGATGGCCTCTCTCACCACAACTATTGGACAAGCTATTGGAAGTTATATAGCCATGACAATCTGGCAAGAAAATTAAGTAGAAGTATGCAGATTGGAAGGAAAAAGTACAAATATCTGTTTTCAGGATATGTTCTTGCATAGAAAAAATTCTAAGGAACCCACTAAATGACTATTACATCTAATAAATGAGTTCAGCGAGGCTGTAGGATAGAAGACCAATATACAAAAATTAATTATATTTCCATACAGTTGTAGTACACAATCTGAAAATGAAATTATGAAAACCCTTCTACTCCCAATATCATCAAAAAAATAAAATACTTGTAGGAAAGTTTTAACCAAAAAAGTATGGAATGATACTCTCAAAATTCAGTACATTGCTGGTTTAAATTAATATTCTTTCCTTAAAAAAAAAAGGAAAGAAATCACCTGTTCATGAATTAGAAGACACAATATTCCCTTTTTTAATTTCACTGTTACAATTAAAATATTAACAGCAATGCCCCAATCGCTAGTGGGACTTTTAATATTGCCTTCATTTTCTTTATTTTCAAATTCTTAAAATTGGCAATGTTCCCCAAATGGATTCTAAATTCAATATCATCCCTATCAAAATCCAGTTGGATTCTTTGTAGAAATTGACTAATTAATTCTAAAATTCATATAGAAGATTCAAGGAACTCATAATAAGCAAAAAACCTTGGACAAGAAGAACAAGGTTGGGGCCTCCCGGTGGCGCAGCGGTTGAGCACTGGGTTGCGAAGCTGCCAGCAGCCTCTGCAGCACGGTTCAATCCCCGGCCGCCAGGCGAGGGTCCCACATGGTACACAGACCTCTCCTGTAGCCCGCTGCTCCCCTGAGCAGTGTATGTCGTCAGTCTGCCTGCTCTGTTCCCCGCTCTGGCTCTGGTGAATCCTCTTATCCTCCCGCGCTTCTGACGGTACCCAGTGCTTGTATAAATAAATCTTAAAAAAAAAAAAGGAAAGAAAGAAAAGAACAGGTTGGAGGATGAAAAACTCCCAACTTCAAAGCTCACTACCACTTGTCCCAGGTGGGGGAGAGCACTTTAAATTTACTTTCTCCATATTGTCTCAGTTCTCTACCACAAATATGACTTTCACATTACAGAAAAATCAGGTGCTCTCTTAACACAATCATTCCCCATCATTAAGAATGAGTATACAAATACCTAGTGGAAAACAACTGCTTATAAATAAGAATGCATTTAAATTTTTCATCAATTAAAAACCCAAAAGCACAAATATCAAGTTTCTAGGGAAACTTTTACAACACTTAAACGAATTCACTTTCTAAAATTCTGACTGAGTGGGGAGGGAGCACAGTGGACTGTGGAGGGGGTCTAGGGGTGCTTGGGGGTGGGGGTGTTATGGTCACAACCCCTGAAGGGGGGACCCCACACCTCCAAAATATAAACAAGCAATGTTACCACAACGATACTTGATAGCAAACTTCAAAACCTGGCGAGGAAAGCCCTGGAGATCACAACCCCCGTCATTCTGACACGAGCTCAGCATCACAGGAGGGAGGCCTTTCCCGGGAGACAGTGGGAGTCTGTGGACAGTCAGGATGAAGCCGCTTCCGGCCGCAGACACGCGACGGGCCTCTAACACAGCTCGCGCACTGCTGAGACGCTGCAAGGGCTCCGAGAAGCGGAACAGACATGCAGGCTCTGTCCGGGCCACATTCAAGAGCAAGACTAGTTTCGTTCACTTGTTAGCATTAGTAGCCTTAGCCGAGGGAGACTATTTGAATTAAGACAAAAAATCAATGTCACACTTCTCCTGTCAAATCTACTGATGATCTGCTTGGCGAGGGGACCCGAGCGTGTCCAGGAGGGACCTGGCGCCAGCGGGACACCAGCGGTTCGTGGCTGTCTTCGCAAAATCCCGGGGTCCTGAAACAGACCTGAGAAGCCCTCTTCCCTGCGAAATGAACAGGGGCTGCTGTGGCAGTTCTGCCAGGGCAGATGGTGAGTCACGAGCCCGCGCACTGTCTGTAGCACCCCCAGCACCGTCTGAACACCGCGAGTCAAGAAAACAAGAGGCAGGCAGACGGCGACTGTTCTGGAAGCCTGGCACGGGGGGTTGCTTCCCTTGTCAGCAGAAAGCAATGGATCAAAGTCTTCCCCTGAACACCCGCAGCCACGGCTCTGCTTCTCGTGGCGGGTCAGAGGAGGCGTGGGCAGACATGCTGGGTCCGCCAGCCGCCACAGGCGTGGGGAGGGGGGGTGTGTCCCCTTCCTCCTGTCTGGGTCCTTGCTGGTCTAGCAATCTAACTGACAGGGTAACAAGAGAAAATCAAATTTATTTACATGCACATGGGGGCCCCCAAAAAAATACATGAGACCCCAGAGACGTCGGCCCTTGGCGGGGGGGGGGGGGGGGGGCGGTCGTCCCGCTGTGCTAAAGTGGGGAGGGGTGGGACCTTCGGGGAAGGAGAGAAGTCCCAGGGTGATCACAGGTAAGAAGAGCAGATGCTTGGGAATTCGATGCTGGCGCTCATGCTGCACACAGCTAGGCCATCTGGACAAAAAGTCAGCTCCCAACAGTTCCTCTGAGCCAGGACCCCTTCCAAAATGCTTTCAGGTAGTTAAGTAGTGTTAAAAAGATTGTTTTCTTTGGCCGCCCTGGTGGCGCAAGGGGTTAAGCGCCGCACTATTGTGCAATCTGCAGCCCCTGCAGCACAGAGTTTGATCCCTGGCGAGCCATGGAGCTACCCACATGGCACAGCAGACCTCTCCTGTCTCCCCTCTCACCTGCCCGCATCTCTGGCCTGTACCCAGCATAAATAAATAAATCTTTAAAAAAAAATTTTTTCTTGAATTTACTGGGTCTCAATTGTCTTCAACTCAAATCCATGTAAATGGCACATTTGGGGGGGGAGGGAGGGGTCCTGTTCTGCAGAAATTCTCTGACAGCAAGCTTCCCCCTGGGTTACACTTAAACCCACACCGACTTCTGCAAGGTAAACAAAGATGAAATTCCCCACAAGAAAAAGCCCAGTAAGAAACCAAAGCAGCAAGGCGCTGTTAGGAAGAGGTTCCTGCAGGGGGACAATGTGGTGCCTCTGAGGCCCACATCACCCTGACCAGCTGGGCCCTCAAACACATCTTCGACCTTCTCTCGCTCTCAGCTTCCTCGCCTAGAGACTGGGGGTGCCACAGCACCTACTCCTAGAGCCGCTGGAAGGGCTAAACTGCCTCACGTGTAGATTACATAAATATCGTGGGCCTTCACTATGCTGCCAAAGCACAAAGGACACGTGATAAACTGGACAGCAGCAAAGGGTAAAGGGCACCGTCAAAAAGTGAAAAGACAACACAAAAAAAGGAGAAAAGTCTCGCAAATTATACACTGGATAAAGGACTTACATCTAGAATATAAAAGAAGACTGACAACTTACTCATAAAAACACAAACAACCCAATTAAAAAGGGGTAATAAAGGACGCGAGTAGACGTTTCCCAAAGAAAACACACAACGGCCCCGGAGCACGGGAAAGCTGGGGCACTCGAGACCAGGGAAGTTCCGCCCTGGTGGGGCAGGACCGGGGCAGGGAGGCGCAGGGAGGCCGAGGGCAAGTGCCCCACACCGGCGAGGAATTGAACAGGGCCACCAGCGGGGACAAGAACCTGGCGGCTCCTCAGGAAGCTCAGCACTGGCTGCCGCAGAGCTCAGCATCCCCAGGACCGCTGGAAACCTCTGGCCACACAAAAACTGACGCTCACAGTGCCGTCACGCCTGCAGCTGGGGGGTGGCAGCGAATGTCTGTGAACTGATGACCGGGCAGACAGGCCCGTCCACACGCGACGGATGGCACTCGGCCTGGAGAGCAGGGCTCCGCGCTCACCGCCCGCCAGGACCGTTGGGGTGGGTGCCTGGGGCTGGGGGAGGGCGGGGGAGGGCAGTTCAGGGCGGCCTGTGGGGGTGATGCCGATGTCCTAAGACTGCCGGTGGCAAGGGTCAGGGGGCTGGGAGCGAGCTGACCATCACCGCCCACGTAAGCGGCACGTGTCTTTAGAAACAGGAGTCTTGGCACACGGCACCTAGCGCGTACCTGCGATGTGCTTTCCAGAAAGAGGAGACGCCCCTTGCCTGAAAGTGGGAGGAGCACGGCTGAGCTCCCTGAGGTTGCCCACAGGTCGCTCTGCCTGAAGCAGCTGCTTCAGGGAATGCACAGGATGGGATGGGCGCCGGGAAGCAGCAGTTGGCACCAGGAAGTGCTCTGTTTCGAGGGGCCTGGGGTGGGGCATCTAGCTGCTAGAATGACTGGAGGAGGCCCAACACCCCCAAACTCTTCTTCTGGGGTTCCAAACGGCATGGGGAAAGCAGGTAGCAAAAAAGAGGAAATTCTGAAACCACTGCTGTGAATGCTCCATCCATTACAGTCCCAAGCTGAACCGAACCATGGACTCGGGCTGGCTTCCCGGGCCCACAATTCTGTGACTGGAATGGCAGGGGGTGCCATTCAGATTTAGAAGCTAAGAGGAATCATATTACATGGCCCCAGAGCTGGGAGAGCCTCCCCACCACACATCAGCCACCTGTGTCTGCTGGTGTTTTGAGAGAGAAGAGGCCTGAGGCGCAGCGCGGCTCTGAGGGGAAGAGGGCAGCTGAAGGCCAGCTCCAGGCCCGAAGCAAGCGGGGGTGGATCGGAGGTGGGGAGAGCAGGGGCAGCGCCCTTGACCTGACCCCTACCCCCGGCAGGTAGCTGTCAAGTCAGGCAGCAGCAAGTCCGGCATCTAGGCCGCAGCACCAGAGACGCCTCCGGTCTGCAGCCTCCGGTCTGCAGCCTCCCCGCTGGCTTGGGCCTTATAGCAGCACCTCGACTTATCCCTGTGGCCAAACCCCAAGACACCCCGCTTCTACCCCCACTCCACACTCAACTGCGTCTCCATATACCCTTATTTTGAAAAGTTTCAGAGATAAAAACACGTATGCTATTTTCCCGCTCACGCTCAGGCGCCTACTAGCGTCGGATCCTCTGCAGGTGAACCGCCCCCACGCAAACCCACACTTCCCAGCAGGCACCACTCGCCAGATCAGCCTGGGGACTCCCCGAGGTCGTGCCCCAGCACACCCAGCATGACAACTGTCCCTCAGACCATCTCAGCTGAGTTCCCACCCGCAGCTCAGGCCTCCTGGAAACAGAGCCCGAGCACACCCCAGCAGGAAGCGCTGCGAAGCTCAGGCCTGGAGAAAGGTTGAGCACAGACAAGGGAGGAACGGTCTGCACGCCCGGACACAGAAGACAGGAGCGGGGCGCCGGGGCCCAGCGGGCATGCGTGGCTATCGGGTGCCGGTTCTCCCAAGGACGGGCCTTCTTCGCTTCTTTGTTATTCTACTGTGGTCAGTTTCTGGAAGCCTGAAAGTTAAAAGAGCTCACCATGGATAATTAAGTGCTGCAATAAAAGGGGTCTGGGCTGAATTCATTCCAGGCAGTGTTAAGAGGGGAAAGAGAACCCACCTCTGTGGAAAAAAAAAAAAGGAAAAATCCTTTGCCTGTTAAGAACATAAAACAAAATGCAATTGAGAATTAAAATTCATGTTGAGAGGAGCATAAAGAGCATAAACCACAGAATCAGAGCAAAGTCATTACCATGAATAAATTCAAAATTAACCGGACAAGCATGCTCAGTGCATTCAAGGAGGTTTAAAGGCACACTTTGCAAATCATTCACTTCACATGCGAGGGGGAGATTGTCCCTCTTTCACAGACAACAGAAATCACAGGGCGCCCCATTAAACAAGGATGAAACGATAATCAGGTTTTTAACAGTTCTGATTTAATTCTCTTAAATCAGAATGTTCCAAAAATCACAGTCCAGAAATTTCAACCACTCATTCGCAGCACCACGAAGCAAGCACTTAACAAAGCATGGAGAGAGACTGAGAACACAGATGCTGTACCTGGGTCAATGAGAACCTCCTGTGCCCCTGGAAGAAAGAACAGATCATGGTCTCTTATTTGGAAAGCAAAACCACTTTCACAGATAACGACTAAGTGTATTTCATAATTCACTTGAAAAAATCCGAGCCAGTTCTAACTCGAGAGGAGCGATTCTGAGGAACGGTGCGTTGTAAGTGCAGCGGCCTCCCGCTTCCGCGGGGGACAGCAAAGAGGGGCTGCTAGTGCCCCTCCCACCCCCTCCTGAGCTCCCCTCCCCAAGTCTCCTCCAACGTGAGGGCGTCACTGCCACAAATGAGCCGAACTGCGAAAGGAGATTCAGCTACTCTGCAGACATGTGCCCTCACCTAGGAGAGGGGGGACAGGCAGAGGCTTCTCTCTGGTCCCCCCAACTCTTACACGCACACACTCACATTCTCTCGCTCGCAAACATATATTGTTACTGGAAACTGCATCAAGGTCAGCGTTTCTAACTTGTAGAAGATAGCTTTGTTATTAGTTTAAAACACAAAAAATTAACTTCCTCATCACCAAGAAGGCTCTGAAAGCCTGAGGAGCTGGTAACGCTCCAGATACCAAGTGCCCAGTTAGCCTTCTCCCGAGCACGCAGCTCCCATGGGAAAAGCAGCCTCCCCAGAGACACTGGTCCCCACAGCGTTGTCCCCTCCAGCTCTGCTCTCTTTAAACACGTTAACAAGGTCCCAGAAGGGACCTGTGGCGTAGCCCCTTACCGGAGCCAGCACGTTCACGTGGTCTGCGAGGGGCCAGGGCCACGCCACAGTCCTCTGTCAGAGCCGTCTTGTGAACCGCAATCTCTATTTTTTAAATGCAGGCTAAAAATCACCGCCACCTGGAAACCACGCTGACCATGAGCACAAGCACCGTCCAAGCTCATGCCCGCAGTGCCAACGAGCGCCCTACAGAGACCCAGCGGCAGGCCAGGCACGGCGAGGACGCCTGTCTCGCTCCGAGACACCGAGGTCCTGACCTGAGCTGACAGAGCAGCAGCGGGGAGACAGCTGGTTGTGCGGGACCTTGGGGAATTATAGATTTCCAGACAACCCTACAAACATTTTGTTCCGTGAACAATCTGGCCAAATCTATTACACCGTGCCACAGCCTCTACGCTCACGGAGCGCTTCTGGGCAAGTGGGGTGCTGCGTGCAGAGATCACACCGTGAGCAAAGGGACACCCTCCAGCCAGGTCTCGGGGTAGAAGTACCTCAATGTCCTCAGAAATTTGATTATCAGTATTCGTCAGGCTGCCACAGACTGGACTCACATCAACCAAACTCAGAACAGACTGATGTCAGAAGGCCGGAGGCCTGACTTACACGGAGGAGACATAAAAGCCTCAGCGCGCGTTCTCCTGCAGGCCCAGCTCGGGCCGGGAAGAAGGCAGCCAGCACACACAGAAGCAGAGAAGGGGGTGCTCTAGATTAACCTGTGGGTTCTGTTTCTGTTACAGGGACAGACTGGCTGCCTACACTAACAACGAGGACTGGTCACAGTGGCTCTCCTCGGTAAGAGGCCAAGACAACTATGACACTCGCGGGCCTCTCCACCCCCCAAGTCTCAGGACCAGCCCCCCGGCCGCTGCGGACACTGAGATCCCAGACGTGCAAGCTCTGTAGCATGGCGCCACGCCGAACCGCCGGGGTGTGAGTCCCTGCTCTGCCACACACTAGCTCTGTGACCGTGGCCAACTTACTTACCCTCACTGTGCCTCAGTTTCCATGTCTGCAAAATGAGAATAATCGAACCCATCTCACGGGTTGTAGCAGCATTAAAGGGTTAAATTCGCCTCCCATAAAACACTGAGAATAACGTGCATTGCAAGTAAACTCTCGGCAAATGCTAACTACCAAGGGGCTTTACAAAACCCCCACACTAATCATCTTTCGTATTTCCTTGCTGGTCTGAGCCCCAAAGGATGTTCTTATTTCCCTATTTACAAATTCCTGGGGCACACCCCATGACCTGCTGGCAGGGGGCAGAGAAGACACTTCGTCCCCACTGCTTCACTGTCCAGGAGGAAGGCTCCTCCCACGCCCGGCCCCCCGCCCGCAGCTGGTCCTCCTCATGTGCATGGACTGAGGACATTCGGGAGCTGGTGCCCCCTGGGTGCCAGACCCCTCAGGAAGCACCCCCACTGGGGCCCAGAGCTGCCTGAAACTGGGGGTGTCTGTCAGGTTCTGGGATCCAGTACGAAGACACCCCTTTTCCAGTATCCCTGAAGTTCAGGAAGACCGTGGCCTCATCAGTAATAAAGGTGACATTTTGGGTCTCCACTGCCCTCTTGTCTCACCTCTCAGCTGACAGGTGTAAAAAATGGCAGTGGAATTATCGGGGCCCCCTTAAGCCCCAACACATATTAACTTAGAAAGCCTTCTGGGGCTTCTGGGAGGTGCAAGGGAGCTGAGAGGGGAGCTGAGCCCTGCCTCACGCTGCTGCTGACTTTGCACAGAGGAGCCCCCTCCTGCAGTGTCCCCCCAGGACGGTCTTTCACAAAGCCCTTCTCCCCTTGAACTCCTTAGTAAGGGGGGGCTTCGTACAAAATGGCAAGCAAAACCCCTGAGCTCTCTGGTGGGTAATCTCGCTACTAATCCTTGACACCACCTCTCCACTGCCCACAGCCCTGCACGGCAGGTACTTGGCTGCCCACCCCACAGTGAGGGAAACCAAGGAAGCGGCTGAGTCCCCAGGCTGGGTGACAGCAGCCCCACTGCCAAGTCAGAGCTGGCCTTTCTCCCCGGAACCCCGGCTCCCTGCCCTGCCTCCATGCTGCGGGGCTGGGTGTGTTTCAACTTTAAGGTGGTCCAGGGGCTGTGTCTGTCTTGGTTACAAAATCACAGCTGGGGGCCTCCCTGGTGATGCAGGGGTTAAGCAATCCACAGACACCACGTCATGAGTTCGATCCCCAGCCACGGAGCATCCCACACGGCACAGCAGACTTCTCCTGTCTCCCCGCTGCTCCCCTCAGCAGTGTATCTCTGTGGACCCGCCTGTTCTGCTCCCCACTCTGTCTCTGGGGAATCCTCTCACCCCCCCACACCTCTGGCCTACACCCCAGTTTTGTATGCATAAATAAATAAGATAAATCTTTTTTAAAAATCACGGCTGGCTAGATTCTGATACAACCATCGTTCACACAGCACATCTGAAATTCTCACGCTGTGAGGACAGAACAAAAATAAGACAAGGCTAGAACGCTTCTTCCAGGTATTGACACATAAGGGACACTGTGCTATTCTGAAACATTAGTCCAGGAAATCAAATTAAAGGAGCCCCAGGCTAGCGTGAGTCTTCTTCACAAACTGGAGGAAGAACTTCGTAAAGTGCAACGGCGCCACCTATGGCCCAACAGCGGCTTCCCGCGTTGCTGGAAAGGAGGCCGCCAAAAACTTGCCTGCGGTCAGAAGCCATGGAAGGGACGCTCAGAGACCGCTGCCAGGGCTTGCCCTTCTCCAGACAGGAGCACGTGCGGTGCTGAGTCTGGGGTCTTCGGTGCTCCTGGCCGCAAGCAAGCGGAGGCTCACGGAAGCCAGTCCTGCAGCTGGGAGGAGTCTGGGCATCCGTCTGGGCTGGCTGCACAGACAGGGAGGCGAGGCCGGGGCCTGCCCTTCCAGCCCTCGGGGGCAAAGCTGGCTCCCAGTGCTAGTGTCAGGTACCGCTCCAAAACCCAGGGGCCTATACTGATGCCATTTTCATAAAGCCACGTCTGCGCCTTCCAGCAGGAGGGGTCTAAGTGTCTTGCAAAGTTCTTCTGGCAGGACTCATTACTATAAACTGCCCCGTTTTGTTGAAATACAGAAATGTTCATTTACATATTGAAACGGCGTGAGTCATTTAACAAGGTCCCCTCTTTTTCCTGCTACAAGGGAAAAGTGACACATGTCAAATCAACATGATGATTTCTTTTAACCCATAATGAGAAGAGGAAAGAATCAGGATTTTCTTCAGTCACAAAATTCCCCGATTAGCTCCATATCAATTTTTCTAGACGTAATGGCTTTGGTCAAAGGCCTAGGAATTTTAAGGTGTTAGCGGATGATTACATGATGATGTGAACTTGGACCTGCAAAAATATATATTCTGAAAAAAAAAAAATATATATATATATATTCTGTACGACTAATCAGTAAACCCTCCAGCCTAAGGCATCTATGCTATTCCCTATTGGATGAGAATGACACCGATTTCATACTGCAAAAAAAATGTACTGAATCCTATCACTCTGATCATGCCCCTGTGTACTGCCAGCATGAATGAGCTGAATCTCCATCAGAGACAGTCCACCCTCCTCAGTATGCAAGTTGATGCTTCTACACAAACTACCTTATTGTGACAGCAAGTTTTCACCAGGCCTCTCTCAAGCGCTGTGTGTATATGGGAATTTAACACATCAAAGGAGGTAAATGATATTATTCAACTGTCACAGATGAGGAAAGATGCTCAGGCCATCAACAAACCCGACAGGCCCCACATCTCGTCAGGAGTAAGAGGGCGTGGTGGCGTCCCTTCTCTCGGCCTCGCTGCCTTCATCCTTCCTGCCACATGAAAGACACCACGAGGCCAGCTCGGCCTCCACGGCTGTCTCTCTGACAAGCGCCAGTGCAGGGAAACGAGCGAGTGGCCGTAAAGGCTGGACTGTCAGAGCTCCCTTGCGTTTTGCACCGTGAGCCTTTCTAATGTTTTGTTTTTAGTGCTTACGGAGTTCGAATAAAAAACATTAACATTTTGGTGGAGAATGTTGTGAGAATGTTGGTGTTTAATTCCATATCTCAGCAAGGTCTTTCCTTTTCGGCCTTGGCGGGCCGACACCACTCAAATCTGTCCCTCAGGAGCGTGCGGCTGGCCGAGGAGCCGTCTCGATGCATGCAGCCACACCAACCCGGCCAAGCTCAGGACCACAGCCCACGGGGCTGTGGCAAGTCGTCTCATCTCTTGAAACCTTAACTGCCCCCAACCCAGGCCACACAGAGCCACTAACAAGGCCAAGTCCGCAGAGGAAAGCACTGGGCAGAGCCGCTGACCTGGTGGGCGCTGAGCAACTCGGAGCTACTTTCACCGATGAAGACGATGACGACTGTTAGTCAGCTAAGGAAGACTGGGAGGTGGAAGCAGCCACTAAGGAGAAACACTGACAGTCAGCAAGCCGCTCCTTCTGGACTGACTGCAGAATGTCTGGTTTTGATACTCCAAGTTGTGTCCATTAATTACAGACTCACTCACAGGCTCATGGACAAGTCTCAAAACAAAACTAGTGTCCTCTAATTTTTGAATATTAAGAAAGTAAAAACATTTTTTTAATCAAAACAGAAAGAGAATTAAAGCAAAGTGAGGCAGGGACTATAGAATTCTTTTCGAAGCTACAGCAGTTCTATTTTCAGGCGGAATCTACTTGGAAACTATGCAGCCTGGATGGTCCAGTCTCCTCACGTTATCCATGGAGTCACAGGACTAAGCCTTAAACTCCTGCCTGTCAGCAACAACGGGGACAGCAGCTCCCGGCCCTGACGGGGCGCCAGCGTGGGGCACGCCCGGTCTGCAGGTGTGTCTCATGCAGGCTTCCTGAGGACCTTGGGAGGTAAGAATAGTGTTACCTTTCTCTCTTTACAGATAAGGAAACTGAGGCACAGAGAGATTAAACAACTTGCCCTAGGCCACAATGATACTAAGTGACTGGACATTCCAACCATGTTTCTGTTGGAAAAAACTTTACCTAGAGGTATAAATCCAGGAGGTATAAAGTGATAAGTTTGGTCTTCACCTCAGGTTGTGACACCGTGGGGGGCCTCCCTAGTAGTGCAAGGGATTAAGTCGCAGTACTGTGAAGCTATCCACAGCACTGCAACACGAGTTCTACCCCCAGCCGGCCAGGGAGCTGACCCACAGGGCGCATCAGACCTCTCCTGTCTTGCCCGCTGCTCCCCTCAGCAGTGTATTTCAGTCAGTCTGCCTGTTCTGCTCCCCACTCTGTCTCTGGTGAATCCTCTCACCCTCCCGCACCTCTGACCTGTACCCCAGCTCTTGTGTGCATAAATAAATAAATCTTTAAAAAAAAAAAAAGATTGTGACGCTGTGAATTCTGGCGTAAGAGGAGGCCCCACCACCATCAGGTCTGGAAGTCAGAGCCCGAGGCCAAGCACACCGGTGGGTCTGGACCCTCACTCCTCGGAGGCAGGAGGCCGCCCTCTCCGCTAAGACCAGCCTCGCCCATCCTCTGCTGGACGTGTCCCTAAGACTGTCTTCAGTGGTCAAACTTCCAATTTGCAAAGCTAAGTGAAGACGATGCACTGCAGCGGGCAGAGCAGTCTTTCAAAAGTTCTGCTGCCTCCATTCAGCGTGGGGAAGAAACGGGGGAAGAAATGGCACCGCCCTGGGGCTTTCTAGAGGAGCTAATCACATGGGTGGGAGGTCCCTGCACTCCTCTTCACTCGGGGAGCAGCGGGAGGCACGCCTGGGGAACAGAGGCCGCCCCTTCCCGGACCAGTGGGGATGTCAGCCCACAGCAGCAGCCCAGGGTGGACATGACCGACAAGTTGCGGTCTCGTTCCAGGGACAGCTGCTGCCACACCAGCAGACACAGGTGGGGAACACCTCAGAGGAACAGACGGCAGCGCCCCCAAGCCCTCTGCTCTCCCCCTCCCAGCCGGCTGACTCTCCTTGCAAACCACCAAGGCAACTGATGTCATCGGGAAGCTGCACTGAGGAAGGTGGGACCCCCGAGAATCCCCTCCACCCCTTCCAGAATGGCCCTGCATTGTGGCAGCCGCCACAGCAGCCAGCCCGAGGAGGCAGCCTCTGCACTCGGCACAGCCCGGGAGCCCCCAGAGGGGAGATCCAGGCATCTCCATCCAGTACACATCAGCTACAGCAGGCTCTCTCTGGGGGAAACACACATAGAAAAAGCTCATGGATCAGAAACACTGCGCTGTCTGATGTATCGACTCCTGCTGTTACCGTTGAGACCCCACCCTGGGACAGCCGCACCCCGCGCCAGCACAGGGGCAAGGTCATTCGGCAAGCAAATCTGGGTCTGCTTCTCCGCAGACACCTCACTCCCCTCTGAGCCAAGAGGCACGCGCAGGGCAGCCTGAACCCGGTAAGGATCCGCCTCACCCAGGACACAGGAAACCGCGCTCAGGCCCTGAATCTGCTGCGAAAACTGGCATCTGGGAGCAGCTTCACCAAATCATAGAAATCAAGAAAAAGACCCAGGCATGACTCTTGGCGGTTAGCCCACCACGCCACGTCATGCCAGCATCCCTGAAGTCAGCCCGTCACTGCCACCCATTAATATTGTTCACTAAGATTCAAAACAGCAATAAATAGTCAATAAAGCCAGAAGAAAACGTCTTGTGCTAGATTTCCAACGTAGCAAACCTGATTTCAGGATCATCAGGCCTCGCTGGGAAGCAGAGGCGGGCGGGAGCGGGGGGAGGCGTGGAGAGGCAGGCCGGGCGAGGCGGCCAGCGGGGCTTACCTGGCCGGTGTCTGTTGGCTGCCTCGGCAGGAAGCACCCCAGCCTGGAACCTTCGGCCTCCGGCCGGGCCGCCAGTGCCACCGGGGTAGTGGTAGATGACAGAAGCGGAGCAGAGCCCTTCCAGGGCAGCTGGGCGTTTAGAGACAAAACCAGAACAAGGTACGATTAGTACGTCTGTGGCCCAGACTGCAGTGGCTAGGAATGAGCAGAACAGTTTATTTTTGGAAGTGCCAGTTTTTCCCCAAAACAAACACTAAACCTCCACGGCCGGTCTAATCTGGACAGCAACGGGCCACCATTGTCTCTGCGGGCCGTGCCCAGGCAGGTCACACAGAAGACTCACACTGGCGGTTTCCCTGAGGGCACAGGCCCACCCACTGCCCCACACTCCCAGCAAGGGATGCTCGGCAACCGCACCATCACACCCCGAAGAGGGGCAGAAGCAGCCTGGCTGATGTGGCCGAGGCCGGACGGGAAACCTCTCGCCCTACGCCTGGCAGCTGCCTTCCCTCTGGAGCAAGGGCCGGCGGACGTGTCCTCCTCAGAGAGCCGGTACGTGTGGCTTCCCTCCCTCGTCATGGCCTGGGCACCTCAGCCCTGCCCCGCCGGGCGAGCCCCACCAGGGCGCCTCTGTCATCACCCGCTCAGGTGCTCAGAGTCGGTCCGGGACCCGGACGCCCGGTCACCGGGGCCAGAGAGCTTTGTTCCGTGCAGGCACGACGGCTCTCTATGGTTTTGGAAACAACACTGGAAAGGGTTTAAATGTTTATGTGCTGATTCCTTTAAAAGTATTTTAAGCCCATTAAATGTTAAATTTTTCTGGGAAATTACATTTTTCAAAACAAAGACGAGGCCTGGCAGCGCAGCTTCTCCTTTGCAGGCCCCTGCCCTGGCTAGCTCATCCAGGCGCCGGGCTCTGGGGCGGCGGCGTCTGCACGTTACGTGCCTGTGTGAGGCTGGCGGGAGACGCAGCGCCCACCGCACCACACACTCTCCCCCGGACCCCGTGTGGGGCGGGGCAGGAGGGGGGCCGTTCCTCCTCCTGACCTCACGGCCCCTGGGACGCCGTGCACCCGCCTCACTGACAGGCGTCTAGACTTTCTTCCAAGAAAACAAAGAAACCCTCACATCCTGCCCTCCGGTCCTTTGTTCGTTCTCTTTCCTATGGGCCCCGAGTTGCCACCCCTCTCTCCCACGTTTCCCTCTCCGCTGTAAGAGGCCAGACAGTGGCACTGCACCCATTGCATCAGCTCTTACCCCTGATGTGCCTGATGCCTTCTGTGAATCTTCTGGAAGAGAGCTCAGTCTCCACCCCTCACGCTGGCCCTATCAGAAGGGCTGACAGAGGTGCCCTCGGCCATGCAGCCACTTCCAGGAAGGAACACACTTGGCCCTGCCCAGCCCAGGCCTGTCTGCAGCAGCTGCAGGAGCCAGGCCTGCGGGGAAGCCGGGCTTCCTGCAGGAGGGCGCACCAGGACAGGGTTCTCCAGCACAGCAAAGCTGCGGCCTGTTACCCGCAGGGGTCGGAGAAGTGGCCCCTGACGCAGGCTCCTGCTTTTTTAGTTTCTTAAACTGAGAGGTGCTGCACACGCCACAGCACATACCCACTCCAAGTGTACAATTGCCGCCATCACCTCTAATACCACAAGGTTTGTCACCCCAAGAGAAACCCCACTCCTATTAGTAGTCACCCCCGGGGTCCTCTCACTAGTCCCGGCGAGCAACCACGTGACGGTGGCCACCACGGGTCTGGCTGTCCTGCCCATCCTGCACGGCACAGAGCGGCCTGGCACATCCGGCCCCTCTGAGGCCGTGTTCATTGCCGCGCGGCCGTCGGGGAGGTTCTGAGAGCACGTGTCAGGGACAGCGCGGGGCTGCCACTCCGCAGGGGGCACGGGAGTATCTCGGACCTGGGTGGGCAGTCACCCCAGACACCCATGCAGAGCCGGTGGGCTCACTGCCTCTCCCCGACCTCCTTCCCGGGGCATCCCCACAAGGACAGCCACCTCCGTCCCCGCCTTACCTCCTAGCCACAGGAAGTCGTTGACGGAGCGCAGGAGCTCCACGGACATGTGGTAGTGCACCAGCGCGTCCTGCAGCATGCCGGCCTGCAGGCACAGGTCCCCCACGTGCTTCCGCATGCGCCCCTGGCACCGCTTCTTGTAATGTCTGCAAGAGAAGGCGTGGACAAGTGTCGCTGCCGCGCACGGCCTGCCCCAGCACGCGGGCCAGCACGCCACCCTCCCCGCCAAGGCGCCCTGCGTGGAGGCACTCTGGAGCAGAAGCCAGCAGCGGCACGGCCAGGATGCGAGCGGACAGGCCCCACGGCAACGCCACTGCCGAGCTGCCCCCCAAGTGGCGGGCAGCCAGGCCGCCTGCCCCACACACTCGGACAGGAGGGCGGCTTCCTCCTCCTCACCGTCCCATCACCATGGTGCCACAAGTTTCTGCTTCGCTCCTTAAAAAAGTTAACTATCGCCCATGTTCTCAACTTCGAACCTGATATTGCTTTAGAGAGCTGTGCTGCCTGCTGTAAGCCAGCCTCTTGGCTTCTGCAAGCAAGACCTTTATCTCCCGTTTCGGGGCACATGTTAATAAAGCACTGGGGGGCGGGAGGACACTCACTAACAGCTCTTAAACATCGGCCAGGATGTGCTATTAAATAATGCAAAGGCTTCTACCTCCATGTCAACTCAGGAGCCAAAGAAACTATACCAAATAAATATCTCTAGTCTTTTGAATATTAGATTTCTTAAAGGATATGATTCCTTAAATAGAAATGATAACTATTACCCGCTCCCGCACCAAAAAAGCAACCTTAGCAAGAATAAAAACCTCTCTGGAAATCCAAAAAGATGTGAGTTTCCAGCCAAAGGGATGCACTGCTCTCCGTCCCACCAGACTGCTCGATCCGTCAGCCCTAACGCTAGCCGGGGTTCAGCCAACGCTCACGGGCCTGGAGGCCAGCCTTCCTGTTCCAAGTGTGGACTGAACTGTGAGATCCTGAGCAGAGGGGAGAGGACAGAAAGCACCAGGCTTCCTCGGGAGCATCTCAGCAGCGGGGCAGGGCTGGGGTGGTCCCTAAAAATCCTCCCCCTAAGAGCAGGCAACAGGACTTCCCTGGGGGGTGCAGTGGTTAAGTCTCAGCCCTATGAAGAGCTGCCTGTTCTGCTCCCCACTCCATCTCTGGAGAGTCCTCTCACCCCTGCACCTCTGGCCTGTACCCCAGCTCTTCTACACAAAAATAAAGAAAATAAATCTTTAAAAGAAAAAAAAAGACTAGGTGACATCGCGGCTGGCCTGCCCCAGACTTAACTCTTCAAAAGGAGCAAGCACTGCGCCGTCACGGGCACTGGACGAGGCGCACACCTGCAGCAGCAAAGTATGGCCCAGAACATTTTTGAAATAAAAAATATTATCACTGTAATCACAAGCAATTAGTTCTGAAAACAGGGATTTTACAAAAAGGAGTCATCAAAATACTCTCATAATTGCTCCCACGAGGGCAGTGGCACGGGGAAGAACGCCTGGGAGCTGCAGGTGGACATGACGGCGTGGCCGCGCAGGCTGGCCCTCAGCCACCTACACCTGAGCGCTAGGCGCGCTGCCACACAGGTGTCCCGATGACAAATGTAAGATGCTTAAAGGTCACAGGGTTCAAATATATATATAAAATATTTTAAATGACATAAAAATAGAATGAATCCTGATACTTGGGGAAATTCTCCAAAACACATACAAAAAAAAAGGTAAACCTGCCTCAGATGTACACAAATTAAAGTGCTGAACCCTCGCAATGATCTGCGCCCCAAGACCATCTCGAGATTGTAAACAATTCTGTCCCAAGCCTTGAAAAGCACAGAAAGAAGCAGAAAATGGAATTTTGACAATTAAATGTCTAGTTAGCTATGATGTGGAAAAGCAGCTAACACACGTTAAGCCAATTTTCACTTAACGTTCAGAATAGGAGCTTTCTGACCAGAATCCTCTTTGCAAAAAGGCGCGGAGCCTTTCCTTGAGGAGGGTGAAATCAGTTTGATCTTAAGTCTCTCTACTCGTCCCAAACTCTTACACATGCAGCAATTAAAGTCATCAAGCCAGGGGGCGGCTGGACGAGCGTAACGAAGGCGGGGCGTGCAGGGCCCCGGAAAGGGAAGCTGGTCAGCAGCCCCTGCCCGCCGACCCTTCCGCTTCCTCCTTTTCCTCCTAAACCCGCCCTCTTAAAACGTGGGAAAAAAGCATGGAGACAAGCAGCTAATAAAGTTTTTGGGTTTTTTTATATTTTGTTTTTGCAAATAAACTGAAAGCTAACACAGAATTCAAATACTGAGAGGATGCCATTAACTTGTCGTCAATTTTAACACCAATAATGAACTTCAAAGCCAAGAGCAACAGAACTTGAAAGTTATTTCAGGTTATTTCCCGAGCAAGGCATAAACACCGGGTTAAAGGAATTAGATTTAAAGTGGGATAAAAAAACATCAACCCGATACACCCTATTTCCTTGTGGTCTAAAATCAGTCATGACTGAATCACAGGTAAGGACCGGCAGGCTCCACAGGAATTGCGTCCTTCTAGGGGCTGTAACCAAGCACCTAACTCAGTCTCAAGGCTGTGGCAGGAGGCAGCAATCTGAACTTCCTTCTCTCTTTTAAAGTCAATTAAAATTCAAATGTGGCTCACAAAACAAGAGCTTGGTATTCTAGCCCAAAAACTGATTTTCCTGAAATAATATATATTCAACTCAAAGAAAAGCTAGAACTGCTCAACCCAAGTTTGCAATTCAAATCCAAAGGCCGGGCCTCCCTGGTGGTGCAAGAGGTTAAGCGCAGCACTGTGAAGCTGTCCGCAGCCTCTGCAGCACGAGTTCTATCCCCAGCTGGCCAGGGAGGTGACCCACATGGTGCAGCAGACCTCTCCTGTCTTGCCTGCTGCACCCCTCAGCAGTGTTTTCCAGTCAGTCTGCCTGTTCTGCTCCCCACTGTCTCTGGTGAATCTTCTGACCCCCTGAACCCCTGGTCTGTACCCCAGTTCTTATATGCATGAATAAATAAACCTTAAAAAATTTTTTTTTAAATAAAACCCAGGGCCTCCCCGGTGGCGCAGCGGTTGAGCACTGGGTTGCGAAGCTGCCCGAAGCCTCTGCGGCGCCGGTTCAATCCCCGGCTGCTCCCCGGCCACCGGAGGAGGGTCCCACATGGAACGCAGACCTCTCCTGCCGCCCGCTGCTCCCCTCAGCAGTGTGCTTCGGTCCTTCTGCCTGCTCTGCCCCCCGCTCTGGCTCTGGTGAATTCTCTCACCCTCCCGCGCTTCTAACTGTACCCAGTGCTTGTATAAACAAACAAACAAACAAACAAATAAATAAATAAATAAATAAAATACATGCCTCTTTAAAAAAACTAAAATAAAATAAAATAAATAAATAAAATCCAAAGGAACTTTGATCAAGGCAACCTTTATTTTATTACATAGTTTTAGAATTCTTTGCATAGCCAAAGACTAGCAACAGCTGATAATTTTTCTCTGGAATAACTGGGGGCGCAGGAGCCTGGATTAACTGCCTCGGGTAATTGCAATCAGACAAATGCCTGGGAGGGAGGCAGAGCTCAGGTTCTGCAGGAGATGCCCTAAGTCCCCAGAGAAAGGAGGAGGCCATGTTGTGTCCTAGGCTCCAGCTACCACGGGGACCACCAGCCGATGCCGCAGCCGGTCCGATAAAGAACCAAGTCCTGATGTCGTTTCCTGACGTCACTTCCCTCCGTCTGAACTGAATACTCAGACCTCAGCAGGTGAAGAGCACACCTAGGCCCAACCTGCCTGGCACTCTGCTGGAACCGAGTATGCCTGGGGAAACTGCAAAGTTTGCATTACAAGTCCAGAAGCTTCTAAGTTTGCATTACAAGTCCAGAAGCTTCTAAGCTTTTATTTTGCACCCATGTCATTATCACAGCAGTGAAGCAAAATCCTTGCTCTGGGGAATGCGAAGCCCTTGCTTCCAGGGCCGGGCCTGCAGCAATTCAGTAAGAGACTTCCCCCCCCCCCCCCAGAGGCTCCCGCCTGCTCTGCCGCCCATCCAGGGATAGAAGGAAGTAACAGAATTGGCAGGGGGGACAGCGCACTGGAAGGGGGCGCACCCTTGAGCAAGCCGGTGTGGGGTCCTGTCAAGCACCTGCTGGCTGTGCAGAACTGGACTGTGCGCTTGGCCTCTCTGAGAATGCTTCCTGCTCCACTGAGCCAGCCTGCCCCAGCCCCTCCGAGGCCCTGCTGTGATGCGAGCAACTCCACGGGGTGCTGAGGGCCTGCGCTGTGTGCCAGCTCCCCTCCCGCCCCTTTCTCCCCCACACTTACATCGCACCCCTGAGAAGCCACAAGCCCAGGGACAGCGGCTTACTCATCTGTGTGTCCGTCCATACAGGGCCTTGCACTTATGGATCAACACAGAGCCACCTCCTCCACCGGAGCAATGGAGCTCACTGGAGTTGCTTGGCTGGAGGGAAAGACCATTCCAGATGGAAAGACCAATCCCTTCCCCCTCTCCTCGGATCTTCTCTCCGCCCTTCTGGTCCATGGGGAGAGAGTGCACTGGGCGGGGTACCCACCCTCCTCAGGCCCGTCTCCCCCCCCCCCAAGGATGGCATTAACACACACGTGCACACACACACGCATGTGCACAGGCAACTCCACTGCTAAGGAGGTTCTACCTCCACCCTGCAGGGCATCACTCTAAGATGTAAGTCTGGTCCAGTTACCCCCCCATCAGGCTTTCTTAATAGCTGCCCCACCCCAGCCCTTTAGGACAAATCACATCAATTCCTGAACCCCCTGAGCTCCTTGCACTCACACACTAACCTCCGTGACCCGGCCCCCTCCCAGCCCGGTCACCAGGAGCACCAGGGATGAGGCCTGGTCGCCTCCGACCCCCACCCCTCGAGGGCTCGAGGGCTCACCACATCCCAGAGTGAAGCCCAAGCTCAGCGCTGGTAGTGACATGTGTCTGCACGCGCCCCTCACCAAGCGCCAGGATCCTGAAGACGTCATTGAACATCCAACAGGCCTCCAAACAGTACATCAGCGTGGGCTCTGGAACTGGACCCCAGCAGGCAGCCCCTAGCCTCCCCCTGTCAGTAATAGCCTCACACATGCCCGGTCTGCACCGCCTGCCCCGTCCGTAGTAGCCAGGCCTACCACTTCCGTTCTGAAGGCCTCTGCCAGCCGTGGTCCCCCAGGGCCTGGGGCAGGATCCAGCAAGGTCAAGGAAAACGTGTGCAGAGTCACCCCTAAGGGGAGCCCTGCGTCCCCTGACAGGTCCGCTGAGAAGGAGGCCAAGAGGGCAGGCCAGAGACAGCTACGTCCTGCCAACCCGGGGCTAAAAGTTAGGATGCGTGACCCGCCAGCCAGGCCCTGGAGCAGAGGGGACTACTGTAATTATGGGAGTACCTGGCCCCCAAGAAACCGATGAACTCGCTATCTAGAAGGCGAGTTCTAGTAGCTAGAAGGGATTCTCCTGATCCCCGGGAAAGTCACCCTCACAGAGGGGGCAAAGCCCAATGACATTTCAGAGGAGCCTCGGCCCCATGTGCAGGAACGCGGCCGGGGGAGGGGAAGGGCAGGCCATGCTCAAGGGAGAAGCAAAAGAGAAGCTGGAGCTGCGTCCTCTGCCAGGCCCACGGCGGCACACCTGCCCCAGCACGCACCGGGCAGCCGGCAAGGCGCCTTTCGTGGCCATGCCACAGCCAGGGCAAGCAGGCTCTGCACCCTCCGCTTCCCCAGTCAAAGGCGCCCGCGAAACGCCCCTGCAGCCGCCTGGTGCGCCAGCATCTCACTTCCTCAACACAAACCGCAGTCGGCGAGGCTCGCCGGGCGCGCAGCGCTGAATCAGACCGAAGCGGGTGCTCTAACGGAATCAAACACCCGTGCATTATGTGCTGTGAAACAAAAAGCTAACGCTTCAAAACTCGGAAAACAGAGCTGCCGGGCGGACGCGGCCTGGGCAGCTGCTCGCTGCCAAGCGGGGCTGGCGCGGGGGCAGCGCGGGCGCACTAGCTGCTCCAAGGCGATCCGTTCGCAGCCTACCTTTTCAGACCCAACAACATACTCACAGGGCGGTATGACAGAAAAAAAGAAAAGAAAAAGAAAAGAAAGAGGAACAAGCAAAAATTAGAAACACACCAGAACAAAAGTGACTTGACGGCTACACTGCAAGTGCGGCTCCCGGGAGCTCGGGGCAGGACGCCTGGGGGGCGGGGGGAGCCGGACCTGTCAGCAGGTCAGCATGTGGAGCCCAAGCCCGACCCGTGTGGAGACAGGTCCTCAGAGCCACAAAACGCGATCTCTTTGCCCGCTGGACACGTCTTACGCCTGCAGAGCTGCAGGTGAGAGCAGGGCTCTGCTCCGGCGCCGCATCACGGGTTCAAGGTCAGAGGACGCAGGGCAGTGAGGTCAACAGGGGCTCGGGGACACCATGTGACGGGAGGTCATAGGTGACTCACGCTCACAGGCTGCCGGGATGGGGGTCCCACTAGGACAGCTCGGACCAGCGGGCGGGAGGCTCAGCCCAGGTCTGCGTCCAGAGCGGGGCCGCTCCCCAAACACGTGTCACCCTCGCAGGCCAGGCCCGGTCCTGAAACAGTCCCGTCATTCCTGAAAATGTCCCCCACTTTCAAAGGCAAAAGTGAGCTGGCACTTTCAGGTGGGCCTGCACCCTCCAAGTCAAGAGGTTAGTGAGCAAAACCTCCCGGTGCCTTGTATGGCAAAGGAGAAGGTGCCGGGCAGGAGGTCTGGGCAGGGTTCCCAGCCCGCATGGCTGGGTGTGGGTGGTGGAGCCACCAGCCCTTCCCCGCCCGACCACCGAGGCCCAGCAGGAGGGGCCGGTGCAGCCCAGGAGGCACCCAGTGCCCGCTGCTCTGCCCTCAACAGCACCCAGGAGTCTAAGCCCAGGCCCCTCGGCCCCAAGACGAGAGAAGGGAGCCAGCAGGGAGCTCCAGCAGGGAGCTCAGAGGGCCACCTCGAGGGCAGAACACAGTCACGCCCTGCCCTTTCCTGAGGCCACGGGACGCCCAGGTAAGGAGGCGAAACCACCCAGGCAGGTGTGGCTCGGGCTGCTCAGGTGTGGTTTGGGAGGCTCTGCTGCTGACTCGCAGGGCTGACCTGGCCTGGCTCCTTGACCTGGACACGCTCCCTGGCATGCCAACCAGCACAGTCGGTGTCTGAACTCAGGCAAAGTCGAGAGGTGCTGAGCATGTGCAGGGGCGCTACCAGCACACCGCAGCAGGATCCTCGCAAGGCGCGGGGCCATGCCTGGGCAGCAGTCACCCGGCTCTGCCTAGCAAAGGGGACTGCCAAGGCCCTATCTTGACCTCTGGCCCCTTCTGCCAGGGCAGTAAAGAGAAGAGCTCAGAGACCAGGACAAGCTAGCCTGCTGTTCTGATGCAGGGAAAGACATAGACTGAACTGCAGGGAAAATGTGAGGACCGGCCACTTCCTGCTCTGTCCCACACTGCCTGGCACCCCAGAGACTCCTCCCCCTGGGCCAGGATGCTGAGCCCCTGGCGGCTCAGCTGACCCCCAAGCACGGAGGAATGTGACTCGCGGCTGGCAGGCAGGAGATGGGGCTCCGCTCCACCTTACAACCTCCTGCCTCTGTCGCCACTCAGAGCCAGCGTCTCTTGGACAGAGCAGAGGCGCAAGGCGTACAGACCTTCCTCCTGTGCTCTTGGCCACGACGCCCAGTAGGAACAGGACGCGGCCACTCAGGTCCATTTGGGTCTTCTGGTTGCCACATTAAAAGCAAAACACTCAGGGCTGATTTGAATAATAAATTTTATTTAACCCAGTATGTATAGAATATTACGGCTCTGACAGGTAATCTGGATACAAACATGAATGAGGTGTCTGGGCCCCTCTGCCTGCACTAAGTGTGTAACCCGATGCCGGCCACCTACATACATCTCAGCCCAGACCTGCCACCCAGGGGCACCTACTGGACAGCAGCGGGGGCAGCCCCGAGGGGTCCTGACTGAAAAGGAGGGCACAGCTACACCCACTAGCCCTAAAATATCTCCCTGAACCAGAAGCTGTCATTTTCGGGAGCTGGAACACCCACCTGCCCTGGCTGCAATCCAGTCCCCCATCTGCTTCTGCCTGACGGGAGGCAGCAACCCAGGCGAAGCCAAGGGTGCCGGGGCACCGGGTAAACTTACCTACTGTCTGTGTCCAGTCCCACAAAGTCCTTTTTCTCAAAGGGGACACAGAGGAGGGGGATCTTGTCCCCGGACTTGTCGGTGGCCCTGTCCAGGCGCTTGGACTCCAGCACGATGAAGAGCGACTCGATGAAGTCCTCCACGCGCCGCTCCACCGAGGCGCAGTCGTCGTAGCTGGGGTAGAAGGCCACATCGGTGCGTGGCTGCTCGGCCACATCGCCCTGCAGCCCGAAGACCAGGAGGCGTGAGTCATAGAGCGTGGCACCGTACAGCTCCTTCTGCACGTGGAACTTCTCGAAGGTCTGTGGCCAGTCCTCAGCCGAGAAGCAGTCGGTGACAGTGATGAGGCCCACCACCTTGCGGTGCGCCTGGAAGTCGCCCCACTCGTTGTTTTCGGGCGGGTAGTGGTGGCGGTAGCGGATGCAGAGCTGGCGCTGCGAGTCACGCACGCTGACCTGGCTCACGGCGCAGATCCTGCGGTACACGCGGAAGAAGTTCTCCTCCGAGACGACGCCCACCGGCTGCACCACCACCAGGAGGGTCTGGTGGTCCTCGGCACACTGCATGTAGTCGGGAACGCTCATGGTGAAGCCCCTGCTCCGAGAGAAAAAGGGAGACTTAGAGGCGCCCCAGTGGCCATTCTGACCCGCACACATGCCAGGCAGGGCCTGGGGGGGCTAGACGGCGCCTCCGGCCCTTAGGCAGGGAGAGGCTAGCAGGGTCTACCGCAAAGGGGAGCTGTGGACTTGAGCCCCTGCAGGGACGGGCCTGCATTCTGGGTCCCTCACCAAGTAGCCAGGCAGAGCCAGTTCTCAGAAATGTCTGGATGGGTGGGAGGATGGGTGGATGGAGGGGTGTGAGTGAGATTTTTTTGAAAAAGGAATCCCTAGTCCCCCAATATATTTTGCTTCTGCCTGGAACAGAACTGGCATATATGTAAATTATTTCATGTAATCCTTTAAATAGCACCTCAACTTTACAGACGAAACCCAGGCAGAGAGAGGCTGATGACTTGCACAAGGTCAGAGGCCACAGCAGAGGCAGATTTAAACCCAAGCACGCACTCCAGCCTGCCACTGAAGGGCGATGTTGCCCTGCCCGCCCCTCCCAGCAGGAACTCTCGAAGAGTCTCTGCTGCACCACTCTGGAAAGTCACCTTGGAAAGAACCAAATTCACACCCACTTTCAACAAGGATCTATGGAAGCCCGTGGGGGCATATCAGAACCACAAGGGTTGGCATGAGGGTGGAGCTGAGAGGCCCGTGTTTCTCAAAAGCAGTCTTGGGTTTAAGAGAAACTGAAAGACAAGTCTGAGGCTTGCTGTGCACAAAAGCGAGGGGGCCCGGGCAGCTGAGGGAAAGGCCTTATGGAACAAGGACGGCCTCCAGGCCCCGGGCAAGCCGCGGGCAGCACTAACGCACGAAGGAACGAGAAGGCCCAGGAGGACGAGTGTTAGAGAAGGAAAAAAATCACACAAGGCTCTCTGCACAGTACCAGGCAAAGACAAGTCCTCAAGTGGTTCAATGTTTGTGTCCAAACTTCAGGCTACAGGCAGGGCTAACAGGTTGTAGAAACTGAGACTCTTGAGCATAAAGGAAATTCCAACACTACTGCATTTCCCCCGTTCCAGCGTGTGCTGGGCGGCACTCTGGGCCAGCACCACGCCAGGCAGAGTTCCCCAAACACAGACCTTTCAGCACGCAAAGAACGCCTGGGGTAGGTGGCAGAGAACTCCGGTGACAAGCACCAAGTCCATCCAGTTGGCTCGAGCTCTGGGGGTCACTCTGAGTCACCCCTTTGACTGACGTTGAGCATTCTCGCTTGTGAAAGGCTGCAGCTGAAACTAACAATGTGTGACCTGGTCACTCACATCCCCAACAGTTAGTGAGGACCTCCTGAGCCCCAGGAAAGACACAGGCTCGGGCACACTCACGAGTGGACATGTGATGTCATGAAGACGTGAATCCCCCAACTCGACACGGGCACACAGCCGTTCTGATCAGGATTCCTACCAGGATTCCCAGAATGGGACAAGTTAATGTGCAGTCAGTAACCAAGAAACCCCGGGGCCTCCCCTGGTGGCACAGCGGTTGAGCACTGGGCTGCGAAGCTGCCCCCAGCCTCTGCAGCACCGGTTTGATCCCCGGCCGCCGGGCGAGGGTCCCACATGGCACGCGGACCTCTCCTGCCGCCCACTGCTCCCCTCAGCAGTGTGCTTCGGTCCTTCTGCCTGCTCTGCTCCCCGCTCTGGATCTGGTGAATCCTCTCACCCTCCCGCGCTTCTGACTATACTCAGTGCTTGTATAAATAAACAAATCTTAAAAAAAAAAAAAAAAGAAAGAAACCCCTCCAAAGACCACAGTGGGGGAAGCATGTGCCCCAAGACTGGATACAGCTGCTCCCAGGGGCCAGGGTGCTGGAATGCTCTAAAGCTGGCTGTGGTGGTGGCGCACAGCACTGCTAACACAGTGAGAACCCCTGAATTTTACATTTAAATGAGGGACCTATGAGGCGTGTGGATTATAGCTCCACTAACTGGTGGGTGGGGAAAAAGAACAAATGAAAAGCTGCCGTCCGCCCAGTACTGACCAAGGGGTAAAGAGAAAACCGGACCCTAACTGAGCCCAGAGCTAGACCCACACACACAGGCCCCCGTGACTCGCGGGGGAGGCGACAGGGCAGGAGGAAGGTGCTGGCTCTCCTGCAGGCGGGCCCCGGGGCAAGGCGCAGCCTGAGGAAGAGAGGCTTGTGCCAGGAGGAACACCAGGAGGACGGGCCGAGGGGCAAGCAGGCGGCTCGGAGAGGAAACCAGCAGCGAGGCTTGGACAGATGAGGCCCCACCTCCACGGTGCTCGGAAAAGCAAAGTCAAAATCACAGTGTCAGGCCCTGTCACACCCACCATACTGACCAAAAAAAAAAAAAAATGATTGTGGTAAAATAGACATAAAAATTAGCATTTTTCATGTAATTTCTGCAGCATCCCGTGCATTTACATTCTGTGTCGCCATCTCCAGAGCTTTCTCATCTTCCCCAACTGAAACTCTGCACCCCAGTGGCTGCCTGACCCCCTCCTCCAGCCCCTGGCACCCCCCATTCTACTTCCTATCCTTATGGATCTAACTGCTCTAGGGACTTCATATAAGTGGACTCGTAAGTATCAATAGTTCTACTTGGTGAGAAGGAACCGCAGGCCTCATTGTCTGCGCTGAGCCTCGGCAGCATACCCCTCCCTCCAGCCGAAACCCCTCCAGTGGATGAGCACGTCATTTTATTTACTTATTCCTCAAGGTCGCTTGGGTTCTTTCTACCTTTGGGCTACTGTGAATAATGCTGAGGACATGGGTGTACAGACCAAACGGTTTAGGTATGGAAAACACCGAGTGTTTGCAAAAGGCAGCCCAAAGGCACCTCTCCTACGAGACAGGCAGACAGACAGGCAGACGAGAAGAGTGGTTCATCCTACGCCCGGCAATTCGCCGGCTAGAGAGACTGGGATCTGGCCGGCCACAGGCACAAGCAAAGGCTCACAGAGCCAGAACTAGAGACGAAACAAATGTCCACCATCAAGAGGAAGAACAAATAAAGTGTGGTCTTTTGGCACGATCAGGTACCATAGAAAAAATGAATGACCTGCGGGTAAAATGCAGCAGCATGATGAACGGCAAAAGCAAGATGGAGGGACAAATAAAGCAAGTCACGGGTAACACCAGCAGTGCAATTCCACTCACATCAAGTTCTAACACGGGCCCCTCCAAACAGTGTACTCTTCAGGGTACTGACACTTATGACAAGGCGCTAGAGAAAAAATAAACCCGAAGAGTTGTAACCGGGGTGGCAAGGAGCAGCGCAGGCTGGGAGGGAAACAGGCTTCAGAAGTAACAGACGAGTGTTCCTAGCTGGAGGGCAGACACCGGGGTGGCGACTCTCGCACCCACACATTGACACCGCACACTTCACGAAGATGTATTTCAAGAAAGGAAGACGACCCAACCTCGAAGAGTTCCTGGCCTAGTTTTCAGCAGGTTGTCTAGTTAGAGAGCCTGGTCTCAGCCCTTCTCACCCGCCAGTAGATTATCTGCTGTTTCTGCAATACCCTTCTCTGACCAAAATCACAGAAACACCAAAAGGCCGGCGTCTACAGATACAGGTCTGGACTCGGGGCTGAGGACAGGAGGGCTCAATTTCTCTGGCCTGAAGCAAAACCAAAAAAGTAAGAATAACATATGAGCTTTTCATAAAACCACACTTACACCAACTTCGTGTCTCATATATATTACCTATTACTGCTACTTATTTTTAGGTTCTGAACTTCCTCGTGTTTCAATGTCAATGCATTCCAGCTTTTGTAAAACGATGGTCAAAGTAGATGGTGGTTGTGTTTTCACTGTCTAACCACATAAAAATTAAAAAGGACAATGCTGTTATTGATGCTGCCGTTTTCTGGGATTTACCGATCTGTGACATCTAAACCACTATGGCACCCTGACTCCATGATCCCGCTGGGTCCCTTCCAGTTCTTTTTTTTTTTAAGATTTATTTTATTGGGCCTCCCTGGTGGCGCAGGTGGTTGAGCGCAGCGCTCTGAAGCTGTCCGCAGCCTCTGCAGTGCCAGTTCGATCCCCGCCGGCCTCAGAGCAACCCACATAACGAGCAGATCTCTCCTGTCTCGCCCGCTGCTCCCCTCAGCAGTGTATTTTGTCAGTCTGCCTGTTCTGCTCCCCACTCTGTCCCTGGTGAATCCTCTCACCCTCTCACGCACCTGGCCTGTACCCCGGTTCTCGTATAAAATAAATCTTTTAAAAAAATAGATTTATTTTATTTATTTATGCATGCATGGAAGAACTGGGGAGCAGGCCAGAAGTGCAGGGCTTGGGAGACGATTTACCGAGACCGAGTAGCTGTCGATAGCTTCATAGCACTGAGACTTTAACCCCTGTGCCCCAGAGAGGCCCAGGTCCCTTCCAGGTCTAAGAAGGCGTGGCAAATCACACCAGCAATCTAATCCATGCTGCAGGTCAGTAATCCTATCAACCTCAAACAGGAGTTTGCCCTGAAGCAGTTCTGCAAATTTCTTGTTCATTTTTGCCCTGAATTTGAAACATGCACCTAACACAGCAGGAAGTTTTTCTCCTACAAGGTTCCCACAAGGAACTGCACTGGACTCATAGTCAGACTTCACAACGAGCAAAAAAAACAAGCATCAACATCATCCATCTTGAAGAAGCCTGAGCTCAAGTTCTCCTAATCTGCAAGGGACACGCTCCAGGAGTCAAGCTCCAGGGTCCAGGATTTTCCGTGGGTTTCCACGAGGCTTACAGCATAAGACGGAGCTTGGAGGCAGTTCTGGTGGCCGGACCAATCTGATACAGACATTGGAACATCAAAAATATACCCCTTTAATTTGTCGATTCCTCAAAAGCTTCCATGTAGAGTTACCACGCACAACGTAAATCTGCTCCTAGGTCACAGCAGAGAGGTCTGAAACATACGCCCACCAAACGCCCTGCACACCTATGTCCACAGCTGTATTTTCTGTAACAGGCAAGAAGTAGGAGCCACACGAAAGTCTATCAATGGATGAATAAACAAAACGTGGCTTACCCACTGGCAGACTACTAGCCAGCCATAACAAGGAATAAAGCACTGGCGCTGCCTCCATAGGACCAACCTTGAGAACGCGGAGCGGCCGGCACAACAGCTCACCTGCGTGTGCTTCAGTTCTCAGGACCGGCCCCAATACGCGAGTCTAGACAGACAGTAAACGTGTGGCTGCAGGGGGTGTGCGGGGGAGAATAACAGGAACATGAGGTTTGGAGCGAGGAAAAGTCCGCAATGTGCTGGCGGCGCCCCGGTGACCAGAGGCCACGCCACTGACCTGCACACCGTCCTCAAGGGGGGGACCTGACACCTGTGAACAGCACCTGGGCAGAGCCGACACTTCCCCACCGTGTCCCGACGGCCCTCGTCCCCCTCGTCGCAGGCCCCCACAGTTCAGGAGAAACGAAGGGAACCCCCTCCCGAGGTCCTCGGGGCTGCGCTACCCCCCGGGCGGCTCCGGGCCGGGGCGCGGCCTTCAGACCCCCGGGGGGCGGGGGGCGGGTCACCCCCAGCTCTGCTTTCCGCCCTCTGACGCCGTCTCCGGACACGCGAGGAGGTGTCGGGCGCCCCGTCCCGAGGCAGGAGCCGGCGGCGCGGGCGGCCGCGGCGGGAAGCCCAGGTGCGCCCCGCTTCCCGCGCCCTCTCGGGAGGGTCCCCGCGGGGCCCCGGGACGCCGCCCCGCCGAGCAGCGCTTGGGGCAGAGGAGACGGGGAGGGGCCGGGGCGGCGAGGCGAGGAGGGGGCGCCGGGGGCGGCGGGGGGCGGCCGGGGGCGCCGGGGGGCGCCGGGCAGGTGCGCGGGGGACGCAGGTGCGGCCGGACCCGCGGGCGGCAGGCGGGCCCCTCAGCCCGACGCGCGCGGCCTCGCCCTCACGAGCGCCCGCCCGCCGCCCGCCGCCCGCCCGAGGCCCGGCGGGACCCACCTGGCGCCGGCGTCGCGGCCCGGCCTGCGCGGCGGGCGAGGCGGCGTCCGCGGCCGCTTCCCCGGCCCGGAGCTTCCGACGGCGCCGCGCCGGCCCCGCCCTGCGCATGCGCGATCCCGTCCCGGGCCGGCGATCCGCTCCGGGTTTTGGCAGAGCCGCGGCCGGGGAGGCGGGGGCGGGGAGACCCGGGGCGGGGAGAGAGGGGCGGGGCGCGGGGGGCGGGAGGAGCGGGGGGCGGGGCGCGGGGGGCGGGAGGAGGAGGCCCGAGGGGCCGCAGTGGAACAAAGAGAAGCTTCAGCCGCCGGGGCCCCCTTCAACCCGGGCCGCCGGCCTGACTGCAGGCTCCGGCCCTCGGGCACAGGCCCCGGCGAGCCCCTCAGCATCACAGCCCGGAGCCCGACCGGGCTCGGGTCCAGGGCCGAGCGGCGCGGGCACCGTCCGGCCGGCGCAGAACGACTCCTGTGCGGAGCATAAACGCGCCCCGTCACAGGCTGGGAAACTGAGGCACAGTCCGGTGACCTCCCGCCCGGGGGCGAGCTGATCGGAACTGTTGCAGAGGCTGGCGAGAGCTGAGGAGGGTCCCCGGGCGCGCCGAGCTGCCCGCACAGCGCCTGGGCTCCTCCCTGATGGATGGCGCCGCTCCTGGCTTCAGGGCCCAGCAATCCGTCCACAGCCCGGGCTGCAAACAGCCCCCCGCCCCCACCCGCACCCCCAGGGCAGGGCAGCTGTCCCTAGTTCCAGGGCCCAGGACCCCAGCTATCTAGGGGCAGAATCCACTTAAAGATTTAAAGTCTCTATGTTAAAAATAAAGCAATAAACTTAAGAAAGAATTTACATACATACGTTGGAATATGCATATTTGGAAAGATACACAAGGAATTGCAAATAATAGCATCTCCCAGGGAAGGCTAGGAAAGCAGAGACCAGCAAAACCTTCTTTCTCTTGTGTGTTTTTGTGATCTGTTTAAAATACCTGTTTAAAATATCTGTTTAAAATACCTATTTTACCATATGCATGGATTTTTTTTATTAAAAAAAAAAACCACCACCTCATGATGGAGGACAGGAGTGGTTATTTCTGCAAATACAGCAGCAAGGAGAAAGGGAGCCGTCACTTTTCTTCAAATGAAACATTTATTGACTTTGCTATGTGCCCAGTGCTGTTTCATGACTTATGACTTATTTTATTATTCATGTTTCTATAAAATAATAATATGCTAACACTCATCTTGCCCAGGACCAGTGGAAAACCAATTAAGCTTTTATTGAATCCTTTTCCAAGGAGTAGAAATGAGTTATAAAGAGAACACAGCTTCAGGCCCAAACAGGCAGAGTGGAATTCCAGCATGCAGGCAGGAAAGGTTTTCAACAGAGATGCTGAGGGAGGAAACCTCAGGACACCACACAAAGCCACCAGGGTATTGAGCCATGGTTTAGGGTGCGGGTTGACAGTCCTACAATGCAGAAAACAGATGTTAAGGGACCTTTTTTTGGAGGTCTGTGTGTCAGAAAGAGAGCTTCAATTTAGTTTACACATCTTCTTAAGTCCCATAGAAGGTAACTATTCTTAGCCCTGAGGTCCAGACAGGACACACCACTTGGCTGGGGTCGCACAAGTGGCTGGTGCTAGCTATTTAGGGATTCAAGTCCACCTGTCCGGCTGCATGACCTGGCTCTTTCCATGGCTCTTCTCTGTTCTTATCGCCTCCACAAATGGAATTTGGAAAGCAAGACTGATTTCTGGCAAAAGGAAAATTACTATTTTTGTACAGTATTTATTTGTTTATCATGTTCCTTATATTTTATTGTCCCAGAAAAGCTGGGTGAGGGGGAGACAGGAAGAGGAAGCTATTCTACATTTTGTGAAAATATTTATTTATTTATGCATACAAGCACTGGGGTACAGGCCAGAGATGGTGGGGGCGGTCAGAGGATTCACCAGAGACAGAGCGGGGAGCAGAACAGGCAGACTGACTGAAATACACTGCTGAGGGGAGCAGCGGGCGAGACAGGAGAGGTCTGCTGCCGTGTGGGTAGCTCCCTGGCCGGCTGGCAGATAGCTTCAGAGTGCTGTGCTTAACCACTTGCACCACCAGGGAGGTCTTGTTCTGCATTTTTTAAAACACCACACCTCTGAGAATGTCAGACTTGCTTAAGTCCCACAGCCATCAAATGGGGATGTCCTGACCAGTTCTAGGACTCACTTGCTCCTGGGCTTGTGCTCCTTTGAGAGCATTAACATTTCCCAAGTACCTCCTCTGAATGTCAGGAATTCAAATATACCAAAATCTGTTCTCACAGAATTTGTAGAGATGTGAAGTTGGACTGGAAGGAGCCTCTAAAACCATGAGGCCCAACCTCAAACTAACAACAGGTCCCCACACAGATGTCCTGACAGAGACAGAAGTTTGATGATACAGGGCCGTGTTAGAAAGTTCTACAGTCAAATGAGCCAGAATATGCTTCCCTGAAACATCCAATGGAAACTTAAAGAAGGCCAGTACCCAGAGGCTACGGGGTGCTGAGAACTACCGCTGCAACTGGAGTCAGCAGCACAGGTGGGAGCACCTGCTCCATAGCTAACTGCGAAAATAACCTTAATGTCTTCATCTAACAGGAGAGAGGATTACGTCATAGGATCGTTATCAGTATTAAATAAAGCCAAGTATGAGAAAGCACTCTAGGACAGACCTAAATTCCACCTCAAGTATGTCATTTGTCCCTTGTATGGCTTTGGGATAAGGTGACCTCATTAATTTGATTTGCTGGTGACGATCCAAGTTTATGCCTGTTGTCCTGGCTGAAAGTGTTCAGCTAGCGTAACATCAGTACTGCTCTGTGTAAAGCCTGTTGCTTTGAATCGCAGCATTCTTTTTTTTTATTAGGTATATTTATTTATGCATATAAGAGCTGGGGTATAGGCCAGAGGTGCGTGGGGTAAGAGGATTTACCAGAGACAGAGCGGGGAGCAGAACAGGCGGATCCACTGAAATACACTGATGAGGCGAGCAGTGGGCTGGACAGGAGAGGTCTGCTGAGCCATGAGGGTAACTCCCTGGCCAGGGATTAAAGTCTGCTACAGTGGCTGCCAATAGCTTCATAGTCTGAGACTTAACCCCTTGCACCACCAGGGGCCCTTCTTGGGATTCTGATTCCCAGACAGAATTAAAGAGCTCCTTGTGCCTATCCTTGTTCTAAGACTCTCTCCTGCCCTGCAGTGCACATGGACACCTGTCCATAGTGCCATGTCTCACCTGGAGGTTCAAGTTCCCAAGCTGAGAGAGAAAAGATTCATTTTTTTAACTACCCTTACTTATGGGCCAGACACTTGAACAGGACATCTAGTCACATCTGTTCTCTCAAAATCACACATCGTGGTAGCCACCATTTACCTGACAGGTAATGCCAAATGTACTTGGCACACATTTCTCATATAATTCACTCACTTGTGACCTTACGAAGCAGTTCTCATTAAAGATGACGAAACAATAGCATTTCTTCTCCCCTTTCTGAGTGGAACTGAAAAAATCAGACACAGGAATGAAACAATGGATAGTTACCAGTCAAGTTTATTACCGATATGTTAGTTGGGGAAGGTGCTGTAGATCTGAAGTCAAACTTTTGGTTTTGGCTTAGGACTTCCTGCACCCTAGACTATTCAGATCGATTGGAGTGTCAGCCAGGCCGGACCACCACAGGCCGAAGTCCCACAAACTAATGAGGGCCAAAGCTGGTCTGCAACCTCGCAAGCCCCTGCAGATAACCACTCTTCTTTCAGGGGTGAATGTGCAGTGATGGGAGGGGCCACCCTGTTGGTGTTAGGGGGGAAAGGCTGTCCTAAAGCTAATTCCATATGGGCTTTGTGGATTCCACCCCCACCCCAGGCCAAAACCAAAGCCACTGGGAACTCCAAATCCCATCCCACTAAGGGAAGGTGGCTGGGACCTGAGGGTGGGGTTCAGCAGCCAGGTTGGTATAAAGCCAGACACGTGGGCTTTGGAGGGGTCCCCCATTTTGGCTCCCCACCAGCTCGCAGCGTCCGGCCAGCTCTGAGAGTGCCTTTGGGTTTCCAGGTCGGCGGATCCGGTAGGACGCATGAAAGACTTTATTTCCCTATTTTCTCCCTGAGTTGTACATTTTCCTTAATTCCTTTTTCCCTTGTAAATAAACCTTTTATTACCCTTTTGTGTGCGCCTGTAGTGGAGTATTCATAAGTCCCTTGTAAGCGCGCAAGTGAGAACCCACAGCCAGGAACCCAAGTTTTATATGGGGGCTTCTCCGTAACATTGGGACTCCGCTGCTGCTCGAGGACCTGGGCACGCGCCAGAGGCCCCAGGGGCCGGAAAGGCTGGATGTGAGCTCCCCGTGCAAAACCAACCCACGCCAGCCTGCGGTGGAGAAGGGACAAGCCTGCAAAGAAACACAGGTGGGGACACCGCGCAGTGCCAGCCAAATCGTGGGTTCCCGCAGGGCAGGGACCGCGACCGACTCATCGCCGAGCTCCCCAGCGCCTGGCACCAGCTCCCGCGCGGCGCGCCCGGGAAGCGTGCGGGAATCATTCCATTCAGACTAACAATGAATGAACGGAGCCCCAGAGCCCGCCACGGGGTCTGGGGCGGCTCCGCCTCCCGGTTTCTTCCTGACCAATCCACGCCCGGCTCGCCCGCCCCGCCCACCCACCCCCCTGCCACGCCCCCGCCGCCCTTGTGGCTCCAGCCCGGCTGCGCGGAAATCCCGGAGCGCGGATCGCAAACCCCGCCGCGGGAGCAGTGCGCATGCTCCAGGCCTGGCGGCGGGGAGGGATCGGGCCCCGCGGCGCCCAGGGAATGCGATCGGCCGCGAAGCGGAAGCCGAGTCCCTCCCGCCTCCCCCCACGCCGGGCCCACCCGCAACACCGAACACCCTTTCGGCTGCCGACAGCCCCACGAGGACCCGCCTCAGACCTGAAGAGGCGGCCCCAGCGGGAAGCTCTGCGCGCGCAGGCGGAGCCGCGGCCGGCGACGGGAAGTGACGCACGGCGCGGGCGGAAGGACGGCGGCCCGCGCCCGTTGCCCTGGCGACCGCGCTCCTCGCCGCGCCTCCCCGAGTCCGAGGCGGCGGGGCCTGCGGGCGGCCGGGCCGGGCCGCCTGCCGCGGGGACGCCGACGCGGAGAGCGCTGCCCGCCCCCCGCGCCCCCCTGCGCCCCTCGCGCCCCGCCCGGCCCCTGTCCGCCCGGCCCCGGCCGGCGGGCCCCGCGTGCGTCCTCGCCCTCCCCGGCCGGGCCCGTCCGTGCCCGGCCTGGCCGGTGTTCGCAGCCCCGGGCCCCCGCCGGGCGCGCCCCGCTCCCCGACCTCCGGGGCTCCTCCCGCCCCCGCAGCCAGGCCTGTGGCCTGCGAGGGTGGTCACTCGTCCGACTTCTGGGGGGAAATTAATTATTTTTAAGGAGACCAGTGCTGTGTTCTCAAGGACCTTGTTACTTTGGGGACACTTTTTTTTTTTTAAAGATTTGCTTATTTATGCACGCAAGAGCCGGGGCACAGTCAGAGGTGGGGGGCGGTGAGCGGATCCACCAGAGCGAGAGCGGGGGGCAGAGCAGGCAGAAGGACCGAAGGACGCTGCTGAGGGGAGCAGCGGGGGCAGGAGAGGTCTGCGCGCCATGTGGGGCCCTCGCCGGCGGCCGGGATCGAACCGGTGCTGCGGAGGCTGCGGGCAGCTTCACAGCCCAGGGCCACCAGGGGAGGCCCTGGAAGAGTAACTTTGCAATATACAATTTCAAAAGCTGAAAACCGGCACGAATTGTAAAAAGCACTCCCCCACACCTCCGTGTTCACCAGCTGGTAACTTTTTTTGCTTCATTTGTTTTATATTTCAAGATAAAGATAGAGATAAATATCTGCCCTAAAAATACTTTGTAGCCATTTCCCCCTGTCCGGTCCAGGACCACAGGTTACAATTAGTTGACACATTTTTTTGTATCCTTTCCTTTGTAACAATTTCTGAGTTTCTGTGTCTTTCATGATCCTATTATGTTGGGATAATGCAAATCAGGTATTTTGTGGAATGGTCCCAATTTGAGTTTGCCCAACGCTTTTTCTCATGGTTAGATTCTGGTTGTGTGTTGTTTTTTTTTTTAAAGATTTATTTATGCATACAAGAACTGGGGTGCAGGCCAGAGGTGGTGGGGGTGAGAGGATTCACCAGAGACAGAGCGGGGAACAGAACAGGCAGACTGACTGAAATCCACTGCTGAGGGGAGCAGCAGGCAGACAGGAGAGGTCTGCTGCACCATGTGAGTTGCTCCCTGGCCGGGGATGGAACTCATGCTGCAGTGGCTGGCAATAGCTTGAGAGCACTGAGACTATAACCTCTGTGCCACCAGGGAGGCCCAGGCTGTGTTATTTCTAAAACATTTTGCCAAGTGAGGTGAGTCCTTCTTGCAGTTACATCAGAGGCACACAGCTTTGGTTTGTCTCACTGTGATGTTAAGTCACTTGGCTAAGGTGGAGCCTGCCAAGTTTCTCCACTGCAAATGTTACTATTTTTCTATTGTAATTTAGTGATTCATGAATTTTTGGAGATGAAATTTCACATGTAATCTATTCTTCATGAGCGAATTTAACATCCACAGACATCTCAAGAACATTTACCATATAGCCTAGTACATGTTTACTGTTACTTCATCTTACACAATGCACCTGCACTGTGAGACTTTCTGGGAAATAATGTGTTCACCAAGCAGATAATCAGTGATCAGTAAATATTGTTTACTATACTAGGTTTCCTTCCTTTATAGATGAATAAAGAGACTTCCTGTTTTGTGAAATATAATCAAAAGCACTGGATTAATTTGCCATCCAGATAATTATTTTTTCACGCTAACATCTTCCAAAGTAGGTGTCATATATTAGCAACAGGGCCTCCCCTGGTGGCACAGCGGTTGAGCGCTGGGCTGCAAAGCTGCCCGCAGTCTCTGCAGCACTGGTTCGATTCCCGGCTGCCGGCAAGGATCCCACATGGTGCGCAGACCTCTCCTGCCGCCTGCTGCTCCCCTCAGCAGTGTATTTCGTCAGTCTGCCTGTTCTGCTCCCCGCTCTAGTTCTGGTGAATTCTCTCACCCTCCTGTGCTTCTGACTGTACCCAGTGCTTATATAAATAAATAAATAATGTTTTTTAAAAATCTTAAAATATAGGACCTCCCTGGTGGCGCTGTGGTTGAGGACTGGGTTGCGAAGCTGCCCGCAGACTCTGCGGTGCCGGTTCGATCCCCAGCTACTCCCCGGCCACCGGAGGAGGGTCCCACATGGCGCGCAGACCCCTCCTGCCTCCCGCTGCTCCCCTCAGCAGTGTCCTTCGGTCCTTCTGCCTGCTCTGCTCCCCGCTCTGGCTCTGGTGAATTCTCTCACCCTCCCGCACTTCTGACTGCACCCAGTGCTTGTATAAACAAACAAACAAACAAATAAATAAAAATACATGCCTCTTTAAAAAAAAATCTTTATATATATATATATATATATATATATATATATATATGTTAGCAATGAATTTTTGGAATTACCAAAAAGGAGTCCCCAAATATGCACAAGCATGTACATACTCACCACCCCCACACACACACACACACACACAGAAACTGTATAAAAAAGACTGAAAAATTATAAACGTGAGCAGCTAGCACTTAAGCTCTCCCACCAATATGTGGTGGCCATTTGTAGAACAAGAAGACTTGTAAGGACCTCCCTGGTGGCTCAAGGTGTTAAGACGCAGCCTATGAAGCTATCACCAGCCTCTGCAGCATGACTTTGATCCCTAGCCACGGAGCAACCCACATGGTGCGGCAGACCTCTCCTGTCTCCCCGCTGCTCCCCTCAGCAGTGTGTCTCAGTGGATCTGCCTGTTCTGCTCCCCGCTCTGTCTCTGGGGAATCCTCTCACCCCCTGCACCTCTGGCCTGTACCCCAGTTCTTGTATGCATAAATAAATAAATATTTTTTAAATATTTGTAAATGTAAGTTATAATACATCCAACTCAAAAAAAATCTGATTTTACATTTCAAAATACTGTTTAAATATGAAAAAACGTCAAAGAGAAAAATCCTAGTACCATTGGAGCAACTGCAATTCCAAATCTGACCACCAGGTGGCAAAATAAGCTAGGTAGCTACTCAAGGAACACCAGCCATCCCTGCAGGCCTGAATGAGGACCTAGTTGCCTCAAAAACCTAGGATTTTGTCACTTTTTAAAGGTTTATTTATTTATGCATACAAGAGCTGGGGTACAGGCCAGAGATATGGCGGGGTGAGAGGATTCCCCAGAGACAGAGTGGGGAACAGAGCAGGCAGACTGACTGAAATGCGCTGCTGAGGGGAGCAGCGGGGAGACAGGAGGGGTCTGCTGTGCCAGGTGGGTAGCTCCCTGGCTGGCTGGGATCGAACCCGCACTGCAGAGGCTGCGAACAGCTTCACAGCACTGCACTCAGCTGCCTGCGCCACCAGGGAGGCCTGGATTTTGTCACTCTATCAAGGGAGGCAGCAGTGTATTCTGTGCAAATTTAGGAAAAGAAAAATACCGAAGCTAGGAAAAAATTCACAAGAGATTTAACTGAATAGGCTTAATTCTCGTACTGGATGGGTTGAGAATTACATTATATTGGTATATTTATATATGTTGCCTATACAATAACATATAATCTAATTTGAAATAATGTGTCTTAAAAATCAAGCTATTATTATCTAATTGATATTATTCTTTATACCTTTTGTGTGTGTGAATTGCATTAGGCTATTTTTTAAAGGGAAGATGGAGGCTATGTGTCTGCTCCCTGCGAACTTGATGCAGGATCTATCTGAATTATTCAAATAACAGATCAAATGATTCAAATAGCATTGATCAAGTAAAAAAATTTTCAGGAAATAACGAATGCAGACGCCCCACTGCCACAAATTGCCCACAAGACGCCCATTGCCACAGCTGAGTTTCCCACATTGGGAGGAATCGCCGGGGTCAGCACATCCAGAATGAAGCAACAAGCCTGACCCTGGGAAATCCTCCCTGGTGGTCACATATCACCCCTAAACAGGTCTAAACCTCAGTCATCCATGCTGTAGCCATGTCTTTCCTTCCTCCTCTGAAGAGGATTCACATCACTCACAGAAAGAGTAGAAAAGAGAGAGAGGGAGGGAGAGAAACAGCAGGATGGAGCTAGGTGGGAGAGGGGTGGGCCGGGGAGAGACCCGGGGATCCACCGGCAGCCTGTGAGTACAGTCAAGGACACTGTGTCACGGGGACTCGCTGAGGCGGCAGATCTTACCTGTTCTGACCGCAGGGTAGGAAGGGCAGCTGCGTGAGGAGATGCAGGCGTCTGTGATCCATCACCACGCTTGAGTGTAGGTCACACAACACGAAAGTGCATCATATCAACAATGCACGCCTTAAACTTGCACAGCACGTATGTCAGTCGTGACTCAATCCTTCAATTTAACAAAAAAAGATTCCAGTCAAGCTGAATCAAAGGTCATGGGCCAAATATAATCATCTCAATCGCTCACCGCCTGACAGGACCACGCGCTTCTGCCACATTCCTGCCCTCGATGCAGGGGCTGGAGTTAACCATGAAGAAACAATGGACATCCTATAAAATAATTGACCTGTGAGCTTCAGAATCTGTGAGCCCAAGGAAGACAGAGTAGATCTTCTAGATTAAAGAAGAGGAGGACATTCTAGATCGTTTTGCCAAAAACAAATTACTGGAACAGGTGGTAGGAGCTGAATGGAGGCGGAGGGCCAGACCTAACACTGCATCAGCAGTGACTTCCCGGTGTGTGAGCTGTGGCGATGAAGAGGTGAGCTGCTGGGGGAAATACGCACTATCACTGTTTAGGGCTGTTCGGGCAACAGCTTCCTGCGTCAATATGGTTCAGGAAAACAAGCTATTTGTACTGTACTTGACACAAGTTTCAAGTTATCCAACAATTATTCAAAGGAGGATACAAAGAGTCCGGC